AACCACCCAGCATTCGCAGACGCCAAGTTGCCGATCCACGTAAGGTATGGGAAGGATGAACACCTTTCGGACCGCTCTTGGTAGAAACATTTTTGTAAATATCACGCATTAGATTTTTCGCGCTGATGAAAATCACCCTGACCTTCCTCCGCTCGAATGGCCTCACCTTTGGTGAAACACAGGGGATTAATGCGACCACATAGGCAAAGTAATTAATTGACGACATCCGTTAATTCATCTGGAAGTGTCGCGCATCGGTCCGAACTAGTCAGCCGTAAACTTCGGGGGTGCGAGGAGCGTGTCGGACGTAGGACAACCAAAGCTACATGCAGAACCAGAAACAGGTTACGAATTGCATGGTCTCCTTCAAGGGTCCCTTTTTTGGAGAGACCGTGTATCGTGGTTTCTCCGTCCGCGCTACGGGAAAACACGATTTCATGATAATTGCCCCAAACTTGGCGATCCAAGTTCTATCGCTGTCGTACACTAATTAACAGACCACCTACCTTAAGTTGATGTACCCAATCCCTGAGAAGGTTTAGTCGCAAACATGTATCTAACCAAGGGGGGCCATGTGTTGACTGGTTCGCTTATCGGCTATGCTTTTCATGGAGAAAAAGAAGACAGACGGCGAGGTAGTCACATCAGGGAGAATGGTCTATCTGGCTCGCTGACGTCGAGTGGTTTTACTTTTCTTACTCGAGGCTGAGGTACCTACACAGGAAAGTCGATGGCCTTAATCCATGAGTGCCACTGGCCACGCAACTTGACGGCGCCTATCGGTGACATCAAGCGTTGTTATGTCCCTTTCCAATGTCCTCATCCAGGAACTCGGTTTTCAAACCAAGATTCTTAATGCAGTCACTTTTACCTTTTATGTACCTTTTCATGGGTGCACGAAAAGGCTCCTCAAGGAAGACGGTCCACTCACATAAAGTCCTCATGAGTTCTTACCCAGCCTGACCTACACACTATGGCCAGATAGTTTCTCCTGGAATTCGTACAAAGTACCAACACGATCGCTTCGTGGCTGCCACCTTTACATGGTGATGGGGCTTGAGTGCTGCAATCAGCTCACGAGCTACACTGGCTGGAACTTCGTTCCACGAGGTGCAGCCATGCCAGAAAGACCCAGGGCGAGGAACCAGACCAAGAGTAACGAGACCCCGTACCACGAGTAACCGTGTTACGCAGCGCTCTGGGGGGCAGATTTATACTGTCCTCTGCAGTGGGAGTATGATGCTGGTGAGTTGTTTCTCCCATGCGAGCAGCAAGTCCATATTTATGGAAGCGGCTATGATGCCTTCTGTCGAGGAATGAAAAGTAAGAAAACGTCGGTCCTAAAAACCGCACACTTCGATCGTTGCTCAACGGTTGACCGTGGCCGCAGGCGAGTTGTCCAATACGGTCGAAAAGCAACGAAATATTACCCTGAGGTCGGTGCGGCTCCAATGCATCTACCTTGTGCGGCAGCTTTAGAAGTAAGACAACCATACCTTACGCCTTGATACCTCGGGTTGGGCCAACCCTCTGCAGCCGAGCAGGTCAGACTAGCGATCCAAAGATCCATGGTGGGATACCTCTACCATACACTATAGTAGCGGGAACCACATCAGTCATGCTTGTAGTGGCGATTTCTCTGATGCTTCACTGTCCATTGGTTCATGATGATGTGAAGAGATTTGGTAATATTCAATAGAGATTTCGTCTTGTCAGCGAAGCCAGTTTATGCTGAAAAGCCGTAAACCACTGTGTAGGTGTTTAATCCTTGTCGTAAATCATCAACAGTGTGAACCTCACGAAAGTCACGGTCAGTGTCCAGGAGTGGTCGATCAGTGGTGCGATTAGCTCTCACCTAGACAGGGCATGGTGGCACTCATCATTCAACAACGGAAATTACGTCACATGGTCAAGTACTGACTAGCTCCTCAGCAGATAGTTTCACACATCCAGTGAAATTACTCCTCTGAGCTGCTTGTTAGTTCATGGTAATGTGGGACTCGAGATAGCTCATCATTCACAAAAAATGGTCCAACTGTAGCACCCTTTCGGTCCCTAACGGTCATGCCACCAGAAGGAAGCACAAGGGCTGGGATACTGCCAGGTTGCCCAAGCCTAGACAGGGGAAGTCGAGAGGTAGAGGTAGCAGCTAGGCACCGAAAGGGTGCTACAGCTGGACGACTTCAACTTGTACTCTACAACAAGCTGCCCTTTTTCTCACATTGGTGTGTGCGGCGTATCTTTAATACGAATTCAGGGTTCAAACATAGTGGTTGAGCTAACTGCCCCAGCATTCTCCATTCTCTCCTAACTGCGCTCCTCTGCCTATCCAGATGCTGCTGCGGTAGGATGTGCAGGAGTGAGCGTCGTCCTAAACGAGCGGTCGGAAGGGTCTTCTCTTGCCTGGATGATCGTTGGTAGTCACCTGTGTGCATTTCAGCAACGTCAATGAAGAAGTCTCACAAGCGGGAATTTGACTGCTGTTTGTCAGCATGCGCCTCAACGTATTGTAGGTCTGACACAATCGAAGATAAGTCTTATGACGCCCTGTTGCGGCGTGATGGTTTCTGGAGATCTGAGTGCACAAGTAGACAGGTTTGGGTCTCTGAGGCTCAATTCGGTCGTGGACTTCGATTGGACTATGTACGTACGGACAATATCGAACAACTTCCTCAGCTGTACATTGACCACAGACCGTTATAATGCAGAGCTAACTTCCGAAGTAGTTAGTCGTGGCTGACGGGAACGTGCTTCCCTTCCTAGAGTAAAGATAACCCTCTGGTGTCTGATAAATTTACTGAAAGTCTTCATCATTATCCAATATCACCGGTAATCTGACTCTTAGCTTAGTCATGCACGGTTTGAAGAAATCTGAGTCCAGCAGGAGCGTGTGACGAAATGCTGTTCTCAGAACTTAATTGTTGTTGTCTGACATTCTGTTACTTTCTTGCGGGTAATCCCTGTGGAAGAAAGTCTGTTTAGCTGTTCACAGCACCTGTGTTTTTAGGGTGCTGCTGTAAGCAAATCGACATTTTTTTTAGCGTCGCGGCTATTTTGTGACCCAGCATCGTTTTTCAAAGAAATCCTAAGGACTCGATAACTGTTGACCGTCTTTTTGCATTTTCCTGCTGTTCGGTATACCAGGTTGGCGGCACAGACTGTTGGAGACGAAAAGCGTTTGAAAATGGAGTACCCCATCGATGTGGATTGTCCAATGGGTGACCACCCACCTGCTAGTTCGCAGGCTGGAGTTCCCGCTCCTATGCGGAACCATGTTAGCCCTTTCTTTCCAAATCTGGCAGTCCCCTCGAATACGGGTTTCTCTCATAGTCCAGTTACTGCTCATGCTCCTGGTGATGGAAATGAGGGACCTGTCTTTGGTGTCAGGAGCGAAGCAACTGTGAGCAAAACACGCCAACATCAAGCCACTGCTGTTCAAGTGGGTCTTTATTGTTCCAACTCTTTGGATTTGGGCTGTTCGACCTGATCTGAGATAGTAGTAAGTAAGAAAACGTCGGTCCTAAAAACCGCACACTTCGATCGTTGCTCAACGGTTGACCGTGGCCGCAGGCGAGTTGTCCAATACGATCGAAAAGCAACGAAACATTACCCTGAGGTCGGTGCGGCCCCAATGCATCTACCTTGTGCGGCAGCTTTAGAAGTAAGACAACCATACCTTACGCCTTGATACCTCGGGTTGGGCCAACCCTCTGCAGCCGAGCAGGTCAGACTAGCGATCCAAAGATCCATGGTGGGATACCTCTACCATACACTATAGTAGCGGGAACCACATCAGTCATACTTGTAGTGGCGATTTCTCTGATGCTTCACTGTCCATTGGTTCATGATGATGTGAAGAGATTTGGTAATATTCAATAGAGATTTCGTCTTGTCAGCGAAGCCAGTTTATGCTGAAAAGCCGTAAACCACTGTGTAGGTGTTTAATCCTTGTCGTAAATCATCGACAGTGTGAACCTCACGAAAGTCACGGTCAGTGTCCAGGAGTGGTCGATCAGTGGTGCGATTAGCTCTCACCTAGACAGGGCATGGTGGCACTCATCATTCAACAACGGAAATTACGTCACATGGTCAAGTACTGACTAGCTCCTCAGCAGATAGTTTCACACATCCAGTGAAATTACTCCTCTGAGCTGCTTGTTAGTTCATGGTAATGTGGGACTCGAGATAGCTCATCATTCACAAAAAATGGTCCAACTGTAGCACCCTTTCGGTCCCTAACTGCCATGCCACCAGAAGGAAGCACAAGGGCTGGGATACTGCCAGGTTGCCCAAGCCTAGACAGGGGAAGTCGAGAGGTAGAGGTAGCAGCTAGGCACCGAAAGGGTGCTACAGCTGGACGACTTCAACTTGTACTCTACAACAAGCTGCCCTTTTTCTCACATTGGTGTGTGCGGCGTATCTTTAATACGAATTCAGGGTTCAAACATAGTGGTTGAGCTAACTGCCCCAGCATTCTCCATTCTCTCCTAACTGCGCTCCTCTGCCTATCCAGATGCTGCTGCGGTAGGATGTGCAGGAGTGAGCGTCGTCCTAAACGAGCGGTCGGAAGGGTCTTCTGGTTAACCTGCGCAACGCGCTTCATATGGTGGTATCCGGCGTGTTTGAAAGTACGTTACGTGTTGGTTGAGTTGGTGAACTTCTTGGAAATAACTGCACTAATTTGATAGCTCACCTGTTCGTCCCACTGCTTGGCTGTCACTTGTAGTGCTTGAGTAGAACGTAACATCATCACCGCTCGGTGAGATGGCGGGCGAGATAGGAGTGGGCGTCGTCCTAAACGAGCGGTCGGAAGGGTCTTCTCTTGCCTGGATGATCGTTGGTAGTCACCTGTGTGCATTTCAGCAACGTCAATGAAGAAGTCTCACAAGCGGGAATTTGACTGCTGTTTGTTTGTCAGCATGCGCCTCAACGGATTGTAGGTCTGACACAATCGAAGATAAGTTTTATCTTTTTCTTTCACCGCTCGGTGTTTGGTTGAATTCAAGCTTGTCATCGTTCTACTCACTCAACTTTCCAAATTTTCACAAACGCATAAGCATCTACGTGGACAAACATGAGGTTGTTATGAAGACAGTCTGTTTTCCTTGTCTGGCGTATAGTTCTTCCTGCTAAGTGCCAAAGCAGGCTTCGAAAAAGTCCTATATTGCTCATTCACGTGTTCACCACGTGTAGGGGTGAGACGGCCCAGTGGTCGGAGCGCGAATATACTGAGCGGAAGGTCCGTGGTTCGAGCCCGACCTCTGCATTTTCTGTCTACACTTGGACAACCTGGAAGTACTTGAGCTAACTGCCCCAGCATTCTCCATTCTCTCCTAACTGCGCTCCTCTGCCTATCCAGATGCTGCTGCGGTAGGATGTGCAGGAGTGAGCGTCGTCCTAAACGAGCGGTCGGAAGGGTCTTCTCTTGCCTGGATGATCGTTGGTAGTCACCTGTGTGCATTTCAGCAACGTCAATGAAGAAGTCTCACAAGCGGGAATTTGACTGCTGTTTGTCAGCATGCGCCTCAACGTATTGTAGGTCTGACACAATCGAAGATAAGTCTTATGACGCCCTGTTGCGGCGTGATGGTTTCTGGAGATCTGAGTGCACAAGTAGACAGGTTTGGGTCTCTGAGGCTCAATTCGGTCGTGGACTTCGATTGGACTATGTACGTACGGACAATATCGAACAACTTCCTCAGCTGTACATTGACCACAGACCGTTATAATGCAGAGCTAACTTCCGAAGTAGTTAGTCGTGGCTGACGGGAACGTTGTGGGCTTCCTAGAGTAAAGATAACCCTCTGGTGTCTGATAAATTTACTGAAAGTCTTCATCATTATCCAATATCACCGGTAATCCGGTGTGACTCTTAGTCATGTTAGCCGCAAATCCGGTTGGCATCCATGTTCTGGTGACGTTTTAGATGGGTGCCTCGGATACTCGAATATCAACACATCCCCACTGGGGGTCTTTGTGGCAATAATGTCCGGGTTTTGCGGCATATACCGAGCTCGATTGACCTCACCCTCATGGTTGATTTTCATTGTAATTTCAAGTTTCCCGTGCGCAAAGTAGAAACCACCGTACTCTCCACGTTCACTATCATAAGCGCTTGCATCAAACTGAGCCTGGTCATTCGGCAAGTGAACCGTCACAATGAGTAAATGGTTTTGCTCGTCTGAAGTGTGCGTCCCAAGAATGAGACGATGAAGAGATACATCTTGATCTGTTCTGAAGGCAGTGAAATAGGTTAGGAAAATAGAACACGGGCCTACAGTTTGACATTGGGTAGCCACTGAGCGGTTAGGCTCGGCCATTCTAAACAGTGAGACATGAGCATATCGTACAAGAACGGCGCATTTCTTTTCCATATCTTGTATTCCTCGTTAATCACCCGTTCTTCCACAATATCTTCTGAGTCAGATTGATGAAGCTTTGGAAAGTTTGATCCGAAGTGCAAGAGTTAAAAACAACTTACCATCATCACGAACCTGTCGAAGTATTATCCAGCTCAATATGCGCTATATACAGTTAGTCAGAAGAAACAAAGTGCGAGAGAATTAGAGTAAATGGCACGTGAAAACGGGTATAGTTTCCATACGCAGAACTAAAACGATGAAATGATCAAACACTTGACACTCATTTGCTAACGAGTGACTAGAGATATTGGGTTAACGAATTTAGCTGGTTTTCTCATCCGAAAACTAGTTCCTGAGGATATGTCGCCGCCAGAAATGATGCGGATGCCCGCGACCGGGAGCGGCGATCAACTGCCATATCAAGACAAATCGCTCCAGTGAACGAATTCACAGACCACATGAAAACCGAGCTGTTTCGTGTCATTCTAGGGCGCAATCACCCATATTTGAAGTTATTCTACGGGGCGAATACAGAGCGGAAATATGTGATTGCTCATTTCGGCATCGACTCCGCGTATTAGATATCAAGACCATTGCGAACGTCGTCACTGGGATTGATAGTCATGAAAAAGTTTCCAGATCTCATCAGTGAACATCTGCACATAGCAAACTTTCCTATAAGCCTGAGACGCTAAAATTCACAAACCTCTAACGTTTGTATATACCCTGATCCCAGAGGTCAAGTTTAGCGGACATAAAAGAGGAGTGGACGGGTGGCTGGGTTAAAGACCCGGGTCATTGCGTTTAAACATTCACAGCAATACCCTCAAGTGAGAACACTGTCAATAGGTTTTTCTGTTTTATTGAACGGCGATCGGACTTCGCTTTATCACCAGAAGAATTACATGGCTAATGTTTGTTCGGTTTCAAATGCGGCTTACGAATTCGTTTCCACGTTCGTTCACTGAGCAGCGTTGCATCGGAGCCCGTAGAGCTGCGAACTGCCACTAAAGCAGCTCCAGCAACTTGTGAAAGGCTTGCTTGTTTCTGACCGGGCTTGATGTCAGATTCCTTTGGGACACTGGAGTTGGTTGCGTGTACACAGTTGCTTGAAGTAACAGGTGGCTGGCCAATCATAGCCGTGTGGTGCTTTAGGCTGAGTCTCTGCAACGTCATTTCAACATCCTGTTTTATGAAGCAGCCGGGCTCTGACGTCTGTATCTTGAGACGCCTGAAGACCGGATACACAATTGAGGTACTTGAACTGATTCTCAGTCTTTGAGCTCAGCTCGAAGCGCTCACAATCCCGATTGACAACACCAGTAAACGTCGTATATTAAGTGCATGTTGCGACAACATTCTGGAAATTCTGACGACTTCTGGATGCGCCATTGGCGACCGTCACTGCCATGATTGGCTGTTGAGTCCAGACTTTCGACCAATCAGAGCTTTCCTTGATGCCGGACATTCCTTGATGGGTCAGGGTTTTAAGGAAAGCCGACTTGTCAATCGAGTTGAATGCACCTTGGAAATCCGGAAATAGTAAAATTGTGAGTCAATTTTATGTATGGGATGTCAGAGTGTGAAGATTTGGTCAGTGCAGCCCCCTCTAGAACAGAATCGCGCTTGTTAGCCTTGAGTCAGTATTTGTCCTGCTACCATAAGGCGATGGAGAAGTAACACCAGGAGTCTCGTTACGTCAAGCTGATCCCTCTGTGATTACCGCACTCATTATGGGAGACTAGTTTTTGGAAATAAGCGATATCAATGATTCTCCCCAGCTTCCCAAATGGAGACAAACGGATCAGACAATCGCTGACTGCGGGATTCATTTATACCTTTGAATAGCAAGATAAAAGATACTAGTTCAGATGTAGCACCCTTTCGGTGCCTAGCCACCACGCCACCCGAAGGAAGCACGAGGGTTGGGATACTTCCAGGTTGTCCAAATCTAAATTGGAGAAGTCGAGATGTGGAGGTCGGGTTCGAACAACGGACTTTCCGGTCAGTAAGTTCGCGACCTAACCACTTGAGCCAACTCGCCCGTTGAAACGTGCACTTTCACCCTGATGATGTCATCATCCTCGTGAATGATACCCGTATGACCATGAGGGAAGAAAGTCAAGAAAACACAGTCTGTAGCGTCTAGATAGAGGGTACTTCATTCCAGTTTCTGAGAAGCAACACCAATCGATGGATTATTAGCTCAATGATCGATCTGCCTAAGAGTTCTCACTCTAAAGCCTGCAATAAAATCATTTAGGCGAAACGCAAACAGGAGGACGGTTAGGGTCCTCGATCGAAGCTTTTGAACCAAAAACTTGATCTCAAGACAGTTGTTGTCGATGCGTAGGGGCGAGATGGCTCAGTTGGTCGGAGCGCGAATATACTGAGCGGAAGGTCCGTGGTTCGAGCCCGACCTCTGCATTTTCTGTCTACCTTTGGACAACTGGAAATACCCTTCTTTCTTAGGACGGCAACACGAAGAGGGGAGGTACCAGTCAGGATATCAGCTTTACTTAAAGGAGATTGTGAGGAGTAATGCGCCACCGTTTCTCACTTCTTAGGACGGCAACACGAAGAGGGGAGGTACCAGTCAGGATATCAGCTTTACTTAAAGGAGATTGTGAGGAGTAATGCGTATCCCACCGTTTCGATCACATGGTCTCAGCGGTGGATTTGCTTTGACTATCTGATGAACAATTACATGAACTTAATTGGCGCTTTCCAGAGGTCTCCTTAGTAGCTAGCAAAGAGATTGGACACGTAAAATGAACTGTTGTGCTCCCAACATCGTGGTCATATGTTTTCATAGGATGTTGACCTCTACTCCAGGCGTTACGTTCACTTCTTAGGACGGCAACACGAAGAGGGAGGGTACCAGTAGGGGTATCAGATTTACTTGAAGGATATTGTGAGGAGCAATGCGTATCCCACCGTTTGTATCACGTGGTCTCAGCGATGGATTTGCTTTGACTATCTGATGAACAATTACATGAACTTAATTGGCGTTTTCCAGAGGTCTCCTTAGTAGCTAGCAAAGAGATTGGACACGTAAAATGAACTGTTGTGCTCCCAACCTCGTGGTCATATGTTTTCATATATGCCTTCGTAGGATGCTGACCTCTGCTCCAGGCGTTACGTAGTAACCGTATGCCAGTCGCCATGTTCTATTTCATATCTACTCACATTCATGTAAAACCTGCTTGTCTTGTTTGGCTGGGTGCACTATTTGGAACGCGGTGGATTGCTCTGTACACCGCGAAGTTAAGGAGCGAGTGCATCCTTGTATGGTGCTACTGAACCTGATGAGTAGGTATGCGTTCGTAGGATGCTGACCTCTGCTCCAGGCGTTACGTAGTAACCGTATGCCAGTCGCCATGTTCTAGTTCATATCTACTCACATGCATGTAAAACCTGCTTGTCTTGTTTGGTTGGGTGCACTATTTGAACACGCGGTGGATTGCTCTGAACACCACGAAGTTAGGGAGCGAGGGCATCCTTGTATGGTGCTACTGAATCTGATGAACTAAAGTGAAAATTTGTCACGTCCACGTGAGTAGGCATACAGAGCCTTCTTGAGGCACGGCCGATGGCTTGATGGTCAATCTGTGTTGTTATATTTTCACCATTACAGCCAAACCGTTTCTTAATGTGTTTTTGCGGAACTTGTTCTCTGTGTTCTTCGTCCACGGATTTTCCTGGCTTGGTTCCATCCAGTTCAACCCGCAATATCGTTTCAGCACTGAATGCCGATCTCTCTTTCAAGGTGATAAACTCAGGTGTTGGGTGCTTAAATACGGGTCGAAACAATAAATCCTGTCGAAGCCTACAATCCAACTCCACTACTTTCCGATTTTCATCTCTGTCTCTGATTTAATGTATTTTAGATTGTAAATTTTATGGTAAAAGTGATGAAAACACTGAAAAAAAAACTCGAAGCAACGCTTATTGTGAGTTCCCTTTTACACCCAAATCCGACGGAGGTGATGTAGAAAGGGCATACCGGGAAGATTCTGATGCCAAGCATGCTACAATTATCTTGGAAGTTGTATCACTTCTGACTGCAGTGTAACAGATAAGGTCAGTTCACAGATCTGCAAGACTCAGGTCGCGCTTGTTAATTTGAAACACTTATGGCGTCAGAGTGGTGTATCTCTGAATCTCAAGGGACGTGTGTATCAGGTCACAGTACGGGCTGTTTTGTTGTGTGGCTGTGAGACTTGCCTGGTCGAGCAGCTGAACTGAGACTTCTTCAGGTGTTCGACAATCGTTGTCTCAGAACCGTAGCTCGGGTGGGCTTGTGTCGGCGAATCCGCAACAAGGCAACTAGAAAGCGAATTTGCGATTGTGCAACGAGTACTTTCAGGAAGAATGTGTCTTGCACAATAAGCTGCGTTGATTGGGACATGTGTTGTGTATGCCGAATCATCGTTTGCCGAAGAGAGTGCTGTTTTCAGTGCCCAACTCAGGTGGAATCAGAGAGGTTGCTAACCCTTGAATTGGCAGAGGGTTATAAAGAAAACTTCGAAACTTTTGGGTGTTGTCGATGCTGCTTTCTTTCCAGGATGATACTGCGGGATCCCTGGAGACACCGCAGGATAAGGCTACCAACCCATGTCAGTGGCGCGTTCTTGTCAGTTTCTATCCAGATTGCCGGAATGAGTGTTTGGAGGTGTAGGCACCTCGGAATGATTGTCGTAAGCTAGGATTAAATCACCTCCCTGTCCACCTTTATTCTTTCCTTCACAATAAGGTTCTACAGCAGTAAACCATCGGTGTTGAACACTGATGTCATGCGCGCGAACTTACTGACCGGAAGATCCGTGGTTCGAATGCGACCTCTGCCACTCGACTTCCCCTGTCTAGGCTTGGGCAACCTGGCAGTATCCCAGCCCTCGTACTTCCTTCGGGTGGCATGGCAGCTAGGAACCAGGAGGGTGCTACAGCTGAACGCTTAGCGCATCTGGCTAGTTGTGATGCCCCCAAATGTGTTGACGTCTCATGACGAGATCGCTGAAATCGTCCACTAGCCTAATTTTTCGTAGGTTGAGAACCTGCCTATTAGATGATGTCGCACTTTAAACAAATCATAGTGTCGTTTGGCGGACGTCTGTGTTTAATCTTTCGCTTGTCAGCTTCAAAATAATTTTGATTATCTTCCCTTGTCATTCATCTGCAGCTTACTTTACTTGTATGTGCATGTATTCTCACCCCATTCTCACCGTCAGATGCTGGCCTGTTTATTGTTGGCTCGTCGATGAACGGTTTCGGCTCGGACGAGAGTGACATGGATATGTGCTTGACAGTGACGTCCCGTGACCTGACACAGAAGAAGGAAGCGTTTGCTGTACTTAGTCAGCTGTTACCTCCCCTCAGGAAATGCAGTGAGTTAGGTAGCGTTGGTTAAAGCTATTGTCATCCTGTTCATCTTTATTTGGTCGCCGACTTACTCGTTCAAAAGTTCGTCTTTGTTCCAAATCATAGGTGCGACGAACGAAACCGACTCCAACTCTTGTTTGCTGGTCTATTCGATTTAATCGGACACGCTCAGGTTACCGATTTGTTTGAACCCCAGCGGAAAATCCTGTTGTCATCGGATCTATCGATACCTTTCTTTAACACCTGCCATACAGAGCGCCTCTGCATCAGGCAGCTCAGCTTGTACGAGATTTCCCACACTTGGTTCACTTATTTTTCCATTATTGATTTGGAACCATACTTTTTTTCCACGTTTCACAGGTTTCATCCGAAATCTTCACCTGATCCGTGCCAAGGTCCCGATTCTCAAATTTCGAGATACTCTGGCCGGGGTCGATTGCGACCTAAATGTGAACAATGTGGTGGGTATATACAATACGCATCTGCTTGCCATGTACACACGAAGTGAGCCACCTATACCTGTGGGAGGTTTAGGTTCGGTTTTCTTTTGTTTCGTGAAATTCTTTGGGTTCCTGTACGTGTTTTTCGTTCGTTCGTTCCCTCCGATTCTTCGTTGAATTTCTGCTCACTATTTGGTTTATGTGGCTAGCGGTCTTCCAGGCAGACAGTGGCCGCTGCCACGATTGGCGTAGAAAATCGACGATGGAGATGTTCTTTTTCGAATATAGCACAATGACGGTGATTGCTATGGGGACTACGCCAACGGATGCGACACTGCGCCAAACTTTTCTGTCCACCTAATTAATTCATTTGACTAAAATGCATAGACATGTGACATGCTCAATTGCTCTTCTCTGTAGGACTTTGAGAGTCTGAAACCTGAGCTACACTAAATGCCGACTTCACCGCGATTAGTAGGGATGCACTGTCTATGTGACCCCCTTACTTGATTGTCTTTTCCCCTGACTGTAGTTGTTTTCTTGGTGTATCTCGTGCTCCACATCTGCTCTGTGAGGCATTGAAACTAGTGTTTTGGCTTTCGGGCTACAACAATATAGCGAGCCAGGCTGTGGTAGTATATGGGTCCTTCTACAGTCTTATACGTAGCATGTGATATTGCATTGCTGTTCTCTCTTCATTCATGATCATCATGACAGTCATTTTCGGTGATGTTTATGAAAAATTATGGATACGCTGTCGCCGAAGTGGATTGATAGAGCCCCGGGGGGTTGTGAATTCACGTAGAGATCTGGATTAACAGACCTGAGGAGGATGATTGAAACGAGAGGAAACGGGCTAGACTTTTTAGAAGATTGTTGGCAGGATTGGAACTGTTAGGCATCGCGACCGGCTTTACCTCAAATTCGACGTCGTCAGTAGTGATCCGTAGACAACCACGATTTGAAGTCATATGGCAGCCAAATCGTTCGAGTTACTTGGCTCACTTCCTTGCTTTCAGGGTTTTGGGACCCACTTATCACCTGACCACATTCCAGAACGGTTATTAGGATACGATTCGGCCGGCATTGATCACATTATCTGATATGAACTCAGCGTCACTCAATTCCGGCAACTAGTTGGGTTTTTGTGTGGTTGCTTCCCCATACTCCCTACCTTATATCACATTGATACTACGCTGCTCAAGACAGATACTTGGGCCAACGATGCTCCAAACTAAAGCTGGAACACCATACAGTCAGAAGTTAGACAGGTAGGCGAAGGCATTATGTTTTTTTCAGGCCTTCCTACAGCAATCACAATTCGACGTTATCAACATTCATGGTGCCACTAAATCCAGTGTTTGTGTGTGTGTGTGTGTGTGTGTGTGTGTGTGTGTGTGTGCGTGGTCCGACCTTGTTTCGGAGTGCACCTGAAGATAATGCTTCTCTATGTTTATTCTTATTCGTCTTCAATTTTCAGTTGACTGGCGTGTCCGACCTCTCGGGATGTTTGTGAAGTACTGGGCCCAACGAATGGACATTCACGATGGAAGTCGTGGACGGTTGTCTACTTACCCTCTCCTTTTGATGCTTATTCACTACTTGCAAGCTGGCTGCACACCGCCAATTCTACCCAATTTGCAAGCCAAATATCCGGTACGCCATCTAGCTGTTGCTGTTATTCCCTGGCATTGTGCTTATCAGGGGGGGAGGCTAGATGGACCAAGTGGTTAGAGCGCGAATCTACTGACCGGAAGGTCCGTGGTTCGAACTTGACCTCTGCCTCATCCTCTGTCTAGAATTGGGCAACCTGGCAGTATCCCAGCCCTCGTGCTTCTTTCGCGTGGCATGTCAGCCAGGCACCGAAAGGGTGCTACAGCTGAACGATTTTTTTTAAATTTTTTACTGCCAGGTTGCCCAAGCCTAGACAGGGGAAGTCGAGAGGCAGAGGTCGGGTTCGAACCACGGACCTTCCGGTCCGCTCTAACCACTTGGGCCATCCCGCCCCCATGTTGTTGAAATCGTATCACAGTTTGTTTTATTTCACGGGGGTGGGGGGCATTTCCGTGACTTCGCACCCTGTTTAACGTGTCTCGTCAGCGGCCGCTGTACAAACTGCTCCATATGCACAAGTAATTCCTCCATCTTCCATCATCATATGTTTAATCGATCTTTCCAACCAGGATACTGTGCGCTTTCTCGTCGTGCCGCACAATTGCATTCAAGGTCATTGTGCGGCTGGACATCTGACTGGTACGATGTAGAGCAAAATCTGTAGCCACTGGCATTATCAACCATGGACGCTGTATTACTTTATCGTGTGTGCAGCTGTTCAAACTGCTACTGAAACAAGTCGATGCGGGATGAGTGCACTAGCTATATGTCATAGATCGATGGTCACACATGCGTCATTGAACAGATGCTCATGCAAACATCCAACCTTTGAAAGGCAACATTCGGGACGGTTGATTTTTTGTCAGGGTACTCTACCCCCATCGACTCGACTCATCAGTGTACCTAGACAGGTTACCCAGGTATCTGAGCTGAGCCTCTAGCATTGATAAATCAATATGATGTCCATTCTCGGCAACGCAGGTGAGTAGAGTCTGCTTTACGCCTTATATTTTAATGTCAGCTAGGTGGTGCGGGGGCAGGAAGGTTGGTTTGTTTGGAACGACCATTCAATGCATCTGATAGATATGGTTTGCTGTACTTCAAGCCCCGGTATTTGGAGGTACAAGGTGCCCGACGGGACTGGGTATATGGGTGCGAGATGGCTCAAGTGGCTAGAGCGGGAATTTACTGACCGGAAGGTCCGTGGTTCGAAGCCGACCTCTACCTCTTGACTTCCCTGTCTAGGCTTGGGCAACCTGGCAGTATCCCAGTCTTCATTCTTCCTTAGGGTGGTATAACAGCTAGGCACCGGAAGGATGTTACAGCTGAACGGTTTATTATTTTTTTTTATGTACTAGATATATGTTGGAGTTCTCGCGGAAACGTGCAGCTCATTTTGATGTGCATACAGCTGGTGAACCAATGTATTCATTTTCTGGCGAATAATGTCTACTCTATGATCCCGGGCATCCAGTATTACTTGTTGTGGTTTTGTACATTCTCTGTTACTTCAGAAGGTATTCAACTACGCCCGACCGTTGTGTGAACTGGACATGCGTTTGGAACTCCCGTGGGGTGAACTACGCTCAAACAACCCGGCCAGTCTCGCTGAACTGTTTGTGGGTTTCATTCAGTACTACACCAATGAGTTTGATTTCACTCGTTGGGCTGTGTCCGTCCGACACGGGGCACCGTTGCCTATTGATGTCGCCATTCGTCGTCTACCTCCACATGAACAGGCGCATACGGCTCGAAGCTTCAAGGTTTTTGTCGAGGGTGAGTTTATAGCTTGCTGCTGCACAAATTCTACGATTCCTTAGGGATTCGTATGTTTGAGCTGCTTTGCGTGGCGAGTGTTCCTATGTGGTCCAGAGGATAAAGCAGGAGCTTCTGGCCTTGAGGCCCGTGGTTTAAATCCTATTTTGGTTTTGTGTTTACCCCTGTTTGGGTTTCGGTGGTATCTAAGTTCTCATTCTTTTGATTTGCAAATCGCCCAGCTCAGCGAACAAACCAATGACCCATTGTCTTACAAAAGAATAACACAGTTGAAGAATCCTTCATTCCGAATTAGTCCATAGGGACTAAAGTTAGTGCGAATTAAATGGTATTAACGAATAGCTTACTTCTGTGGCCAGTTTCGTGGATCCCTCAACCTCATAAGGTGCATGAAGAATTTGCGATTGCGTAGCATCCCCTATAGAGGAGGAGAATGTCAGTAGCTCAGGTAAAGTAGATGGTCGTTGGTTTTTTCCCTAAGCTAGCAATTTGATTTGCAAATCGCCCAGCTCAGCGAACAAACCAATGACCCAAAATTTAACCCAAAAACCAAATCAGTTTGCAAATGAGTGTATATTCGTGAATTTCGTGCAATATGGTTTCAAGTAGAACATAAGGTTGACGGAAACTCGGGGACTACGCCTACCTGATGAGCGCCAAAAAAGGCGAAACCGGTCGTAGGCCGTCGACGAATTTTCAGCAACCTCATGAGTAATACATTACAAACCAATGACCCTTAATCTGTCGGTGCATGTACGTTTGCAAAACAAAGTTCGAACAAAGCGGGCGTCCTGAGTTTTCTCTTCCTTGCTCCATATTTCAAGCTGATACGTTGGTCCTTGTCTAGGACGCGGTTAGACGCGGTCGCTCTAGGATGGATGGTCCGTACAGAAAGAGTAGCCAAATCTGCTCATATTTTAACGCTGAATCACTGCTTGTAGTGTGTTGCACTCATACTAATTTATCAAGTGTCCTATTAATCCCCTGTTTGGTTTCGCTATTAAGACTCAAATTCCCTAGACCTTAGAAAGGTCATGAATTTGTACCCATTTTTGTTAGCTTGAACAACACGTCGGTATTCGGGGCTTCATACTCAGTTTATTCAGCTCCAGAGGCTCCGTGTGTTTGTTGCCACTAACCTTGTATATTAACAACTTTTCGTGGAAACAAGCCACCGGTCTTTCAGACAACTTGTTTTACTATACTGTTCGGTCTTAGCTTGTCGGATTTAATTCAGGGAGATCGAACAATGAATTGACAGCGAAGTGTGAAAGCCATTACCAGCAAACTCAGCTGCGCTGGTCATTGCCGCCGTCTCCATGGATGGGGACCCCGCGCCGAGCCGGGCCACACCAATGGCTCGAGACATTGTCAGACATGGTCCAGTCGAGATTTTTTGTTGGCGATCGTGCATCCAACCCATTGCCCTTAATCTATAGCTCCATTCCCAATACTCCCACTTAAAAATCCACTGACAGACCTGTATTTATCAGCTCCCGTCTCCAATTCTCCGCTTCTTCCCCCAAACCATCGATGGACGAAATTGTGGCGGCTACAACCGCTGCACGACAAGTGCCTGGTTCTTACAGCTGATTCGTCGGTTTGGTTTTTATGGTGCCTAAAACATTCAGCAATCAATCAGTTTTGTCCTGGATATTCTCACACAATCCATCCAGCAAACGAACTGCTTCTCTTCCATTTCCCGGTTTCAATTCACCCCATCAAGGTCTGGCATTTTCTCCAGCGACTTCGGATAGTCTGTCAAAGAGGACAACTGTAGTTTACGTGTTCACCGCAAAACTGTCTCTTCTTCAATTGTTTTTTTCATTACAGAACCGTTTTGTCAAAGTAATGCTGCACGGTCATTGCACGGTGACGATGTACTCAACCGCATACGACAGGCGTTCGTCAAAACCCATCAAGCTGTTCGATCCCAACGCCCGCTCGAGTCCATTTGGGTTAATCCTTCGACCGAAGGAAGCTGATCTCACGTCCACGTGACGTGATTTGGATACGAAAATGTGGTTGTCATACGATATATGATTCCTTTCTGTCTTTCCATGTACAGCATTTTTCCTTAGTCTCTCTCCCCGTAACACAAAAGTGACCCGAAAACCGACCAAAAGAAGTGTTAGTTTTACCGCTGTATGCCTACAAGTCGATACTAGTTAATCTTAACCCTTGCCTGTTTTTATCGCCGCCACTCCCTTCCCTTTTTCCTAACGTATCAGCGCGCGTCAGTTGCCTTCTACAGGTAGGCGCATTTGTTATTTTCGAGGCATCTATTTTCGTGCATAACTTTATTCTCTGATCCACTTGCTTCAGCCTAGTCTCGTATTATTCTCGCGACCTTGTTCTTGGTTTTCTAATATCCCTTGTTTGTCATCATCACACAGCATCTTTGTTGTTTTCTTTTGTTGAACACTTGATTCCGCGTAGTCTGGTCACAGACTACACCCCTTAATTCGTCTTTTTGCCCGAAGGCCATCCATTCCCCTCGCTCAAGCAGCTGTTGTTGAAAAAAATTCACTAACTATTCACCTCAGCTCTTCCCTTTATCAGAGTTACCATCCTTTCCAGCCAACTTTCTTGTGCTTTTTTCCAGCTCAGGTCTAATTTTGTTAAGTGCAACTCGCTAATCGAGTTCTGAGACAAAAAAAACAGATCCACTCTCAGATGTCGAATCGGACGGTCCTATTCAGACTAGCACGTGTATTTACTTGTGTCTCGTCACACACACACACACACACACAAACAAGCACACTGTACATCTCTGTCCTTCATATATTTCGCCTCACTCAGTGGTTCTCGGTAGGCTAATCCACTCGGATGCCAACATCTCTTCCATTCGAAACATGCCGTTTTTTCGTTTCACACCACCGTTCACTACGTGCTCGTTTTCGCACCTGGTTTTTCGGTTGTATGGTGAACTAAATTCCATACCCTCATGTTTTCACACTTATTACAGCAATATCAATTTGGATTGAATCGGACTTCAGGGGTTCTCGTGTCCTATATGGAACGGGGCATGGTAAACTTTGAGGGAGGTGTTAGGGGATCCGTTTTCTGGACGCTGGCCTTTCAGTGGTTTGTATAGTAGGTTGCTACGCGCTAAACTAGAGTATAACGTAACACTACTCATAACGTTGCTGCAAACTCTTCCAGGACTTCCTTGGGGCTCCCAATTTTTGTCCATAATGCTTCTCTGTGGCGACCAGTACACGAGGTATTCGGGAAGCTGTCTTCGAATTTAGCTGCTTGTCGGGCAGCGAAATGACGACCATATAGAAGCCACCATTCCGTATCATTTTGGTGCGCGCATCGCCTTAAATCATGGCGACAGTGTGGGACACTGGTATTTTGTTAACACGCCACATGTCTGGTTGCTTAGCTAACGGCATGTGGTGAAAAACGGAGCAAAAGGTAGGCGACACCCTTAAGTCGGGTTCACGACTCCCTGAGTTCATCCGTACACTAATGGAATTAGCCAGTAGGAAGTTCACCAAATGTATTCAATGCTAACTAGGGTAGGACTGTCCCCTCTTAGAGGCGTGGTTTATTGGATGGGGAACTAAACTTAGCCACATGTGGGAGTTCATCTGCTTGGGATTACTTCGGTGCTTACGAGTGGCCGAAGTTTCATCCATTGATACGAGCTTGCAGATGAATTGAAATGGCCATCAAAACACATCAAGACCGTATTCAATGTCTGAACCACAAGCGTTTTCACAGGAAGTTTGTTTTTATAAAGACTTGGGAAAAACAGTAGAAGGGGTGTTGCCTTGTCGTAGCTTGTCCTTCATCAATTCTAATGGGACAAGAAGGTACGTTGACCCGCTGGATGCGTTAACTGAAAGTTGCCTGCTAAAGAGAGCGGCTGCTGTTGAGGGGTATTTGCCAATCGGATGGTGGATTTTAGGCGTCACACTGGCCTACAGTTGTTGTTTTTTAATTTGTGTCTGGACGTAACAAAACACTTCCTAACCTCGAAAACGTTTTGTTGAGGTGGCGGCTGGAGTGCTCGGGGTCGGGTACCGACCGACCGCCCGACCGAACTTAATTTGTATTCACTGCTCGTCTCTTCTGACACTGTCAGTTTCCTATACAGAAAGACAGTTCCATTTGGAAGGTGAGTGGAGGGTGGTCCAGAATCCACTGTTTGCTTTGTATTGTGATGGTACTGAACTGAACCTAGCTGGAATATAATAAATTGCGTGGAATTTGATGATATCCATATAGAGGTTTCCACGGCGTTTGACAGACAGAAATGGGCAGATGAATGCAACTGTTTCGAACTCAACACCTTATAGGGTTCGGGAAGTCGTTTCGATTATCTTGCTGTACCTCAGCCTGGAAGTAGATGCCACCGTTCATGGACGCATCATCTGATAGCCAGTGTGGCAATCGTGAGAACTGGTAATGTAAGCAACGTATGCATTATACCCAGAGGGTATATCCTAGGAATTTCTCCTGTGTAACATGTCACTACCGTGGAATAATGAAGAGAGAACGCCCAACTAAATAGGGTCTGGCTGTCTACACCTTCAAGCACCTATGAGTTAAATCTGAGTATCATTTTGGGGTAATATACCATCAGCTGGGTCGGCGTGACATCATTTGGGCACCTTAGCCAACACACGTCCGGTGCGCGATACCGACGTTACCTCGTCAGTCGGGCTAGCAGGCGACAGCATTGGGACAACTTGCCTGCTTTGCTCGGTTTGGTTTTCCAGCTGCGTACAAGGAGAATCACGTGAACACCCTTCGGAAAGGTATGAAGATACCAGTTTCGCAAAGCCATGTCGTTACCTGTCTCCTACGAACTTATTTATAATGAGGGTTTGGAATGCGAAGCGGTGGTTCGGCGTGGGTAGTACAACCGCCTTAACACGAAATTCTGTTTGCCTTTGTGACAACTCTGATTTCGCTTATGCATACTCGCTGTAGACATTCTACACCTGGTGATGATGCGTTCCAGGTGGAAGGAAGAAGGCCTTCGCTGCGGAGTTACTAACTAGAAATGCCAACTGAACAGGGAAGCAAAACTCTCATATGCATCTTGTTTACAAAAACTGAATATCCATCCTCTTTTTGAACGCTTTTTACCTGAACGTTTCTGGATATTCATTGACTGTTGCTCAAATCCAAGCAAGTGACACAAAGCGACTCCACAAATGCCGCAATAGATCTCACTTTTCAAGAGACGCAAAGCGGATTTACGAGAAACCATACTACTCGCATTCCCCCCATCAGTAGTATGACCGTTACACAGGTACTTAGGGGGGCTAATTTTCGCAACGCAAGCCATGACGCCCCTTGTAAATGCTATGCATACTCGGTTATTTGTCTCCAATGCCATTCGGTTCTGATGCCATAAATGAAGAAAGTCGGCCAGTATTGTCGCACTTTTGTAAAACATGCGTATACTACCAGTGTCACAGCATGGTTGCTTCTAATGCAGCTGCCGGTTCCGAGAATCAGTGCCTTCCATTGGAAGTCTGAAAATGGGAGGAAGGTGTTGAAAATCCGTCAACAAAACCGTTTTTTGAAGGTGAAAAGACACGTGATCAAACAGAAACCACTATCGAAATTCCATTTACCGTGGGTGGTGCAGACTGTCGCCCGTCGAATAACAAGTAAGCAAGGATGCAATTCACTTGAATTTCAGCAACTGTCATTATGATTTTTATGTTTGTATCCTCTTGTCCTTCATGACTGTATCAAAGAAGAAACTGAACAAAACGGCGGGTAGATCACATGTGAGTACCACTAGTTTTGGGACGGATTTTCTAAACTCTTCCGTAGAAAGAAGTTCTACAATATCGGACGTGAAGTCTACGCACATCCGCATATATTCAGAGTTGCAGAAGTACAGTCATTTAAAAATTAAGCGGGTGTTAACGGTGGACCCAGGTGAGGACCAGCAGAAATTCCTCAGTTTGTGTTATTCTTCAAATAAATGTGTTGTACAGAGGTCACCTCATGTTTCATTTGGGACGATATTCGAGATGTCGCAGGATAATTTCTTTTTGGATGCAATGCATTACTCATCTGGTTGCTGAAAACTTTTCGACGGTACACGACTTCAAAATACATTCACTCACATACCGAATCGGCGTTGGCGAGGGGACGGACTGAAGGATATCAAATACGAGGGGTTCACTTTAATCTCTTAATCGCTCTTATTTCGGCAATCAGCATTCAGCGGATACTCAAACGTGATTGGCTCGTTGGTCTACAATTTTGGCCAGTCGGAGATCGCCTTGATGCCGGAACGGCAAGTGACCTATAGTTCTGGCCAATCACGTGTGAATTAGGCTTGTTGGCAGCATTAGCGCTAAGCGGTAAAGCGGTTTCGATGCAGGATTCAGCCTAACACCAGGGTACCCTTTACCTCATAGAATGTCTTTTTCTCAGCCACGTTTTGAGCAGAATCGACTGACCTATCAACGGAGTATGAAGGCATCATCCAGCAATCGCAATTGGACTGACAACTGCAACCTCCATGGATCGGAACTCAGGATGCCACTGGCAGATAACACTCACGTGGTCGCTGGTGTCCCCGCATCAAAGCGGTCGCCTTCAATGCACAGTTTCCAAGTCTTCTTTCCATTCAAATAACTGTAATAATTTGTTATCTAGTAACTTTCCACACATTCAGTGCCTGTGTATATCCCCAGTTATCCCCGTTTCCGGTGACCGCTACCCTAGAAGCTGGAATCAGCTGGTGCATGATTAATAGCTGATAATCTAAAATGAACTTAGGATAATGGCAATCAAAGTATTACTTTTGGCTGGCTGTCGAAGGATTTTTATCAGCCGTCAGGGTTGTTATTCCATCTTCAGAATCTCTGGTTGGCGATAAAGACGCATTTGGTGTAATATGAGGACTTGATCACGCCCGCTCCTGGTCGAGTTCTGTCTCAGTCTCTTGGAATTACGTTTCATATACTGAGCTTAGGTGTGGCAACATTTGGGTTGCTAGCATCCGTAAGAGGTTATCGCCATGGGCGTCGGAACAACGAATGGATCAATTATTTGTATCAGCAATGGGTGGTCGCACACGCGACAACACACCAACGCCATCTGCTTGAAATTAATTATACACTACTTACTATTTCCACGTAGCTGAATCAGTACGACGAATATCCATCTTTCGCGTGCTGTTTTTCCGATAACAGTGGAGCATTTGCATTAAGGAAACTACTCACAAGGTTGCTGAAAACCATTCGATAGTCAACGACCGGTTTCCCCCTTCTTGGAGCTCATCAAGTAGGCGCAGTTTCCGAGTGTCCGTCAACCTTATGTTCCACTTGAACCCAAATTGGAGTGATTTTGAGAAATACACTCATTTGCAAATCCCTTTGAAGAATATAAACGAGAGATACATTTGAGTCTCTCATGGAAACCTGATTGATTTGCAACTGAGTGTATCTGTCGAAAGTGAAGCACTGAGTTGCATAGCGGTCCTTGGAGTACGAACAACTAAACTTGGAACTCGAGTATGGATGCGGTTGGAGGGTTTTTTGATTAGAGACGACTCTTTCAGCATGCTTATCGTTTCAATCTTTCGGTCCCAGATGCTGTTTTCGGTCCCGTGAATAACACTGCTCCCAAATTAGGTTGTAATCTCAGCAGTCATACTCAACTTCAATTGCTTTTGCTCTACTGCACTAAAAATTACCGGCATATCTCTTCCCTTTTATTTCTGAAGCTGCATTCACTCCAGAAACAACCTGCTATCATTCTTTTACTCTTCTGTACCTGTGTAAGTAGGAGAGCGCTTCGCCGCTTTGACAAACATCAACTAAGCACTTACAAACTATTGAACAGGAAAGTAAACGTCTCATATGTACAGAGTTTTCGTGAACTGAACATCCTCACACGTCTTATTAAAATTCCATGAATAGTCATTGACCATCACACAATTGTAATAGAACGGCGCAAGCAGTTCCACTAGTTCCGTGATAAACTTCGCCTTCCATTATACGTGGAAAGGAGCTTTGAGGAAGCTGAAGACTACTTGTATGTCTCATCAGTAGTATACACCGCTGCACCTGTATAAAGCCAAAAGCTTTGGACGCCCACAAAACACACTGACAGATACTATATGGGCGACGTTCTACTTAAATGCCTCTTTACACCGCTTCTTTTACATTAGTTAGTTTTCTGTTAGGCCGAGTTGGCAAACTGCTGCAGCACCCATATTTTCCATTTCGCCTTTTAAATCTTGCCCTCTGTTAGTGATCGCCAAAGAGCATATCGTTTCGAATTCTTTCTTCAATGTCATATTTGTACAAAACCCTCCGGTGTGAACGGAGAGTTGTGCAGCAAGCTGTTTATTTATTTTCAACTACTTTTCGCTCCACCAGTAGTATATCTCTATTTTCTCCATATTCACACATTCTCCATGGTACCATCAATGTCGTTTTTGATGAGGACATATTTTCAGGTTCTAGCTCACTCCGCGTAGTCTGGTAATATCTCCACCACATTTTTCACTTGTTCCATATTCAAACTTTTGCCCGGTCATACTTCGCTATTCAGGAACAGAAAATTGTGTAAAATATTTGCCTTTTATTGGCTATAGGGCCTAGTTTCGCCCCCTAGAAAAACCGTCTGTTCTGTTTCTTTAAAACTATCGTGCTTTTCTCCTAGCCCATATGGGGTTCAAAGTGCTATAAAAATTCACCTTAGAGACCCATGGTGCCTTTTTTGCAGCTTGACTTGATTTGTCGAACTGCTAACAGTTCCGCACCCCGTCCCTTCACATGGATGAACCCTGTTGAGCGACCAATACTAAAATGGTACCGTATACAACTACCAAGGTAAGCAGGAAGCAACTTCACCAAGCTTGAAACAGCCGAAACAGCACGTTTCCTATAATGCACAACCGGGCTGGCGTTAATTGGTGTTTGGATGGCGGAAAACTTGAGTCACTTGTGCAGAATGTTGTGCTTTTGAGACAAAAGAAAACGATCCCTTGGAGATAGAGAAGGCGTACTTCATAGGCCAAAATTTCCTAATTACTGTAGTCCCTGCAAAGTGGTAGACTTAAGTAGCATTTTTCTAGAAACTAATCTGCAATACGCAGTTTCGGCCCCGCAGCATTTCGAACTTCAGACGCTGACATGAAATAAAAGCATGTGTATTAGCACAGGCAAATCTGTTTGCGCTTCCAGTTTTCTGATAAGATTCACCCAAGGTCATGAACGACCCCGGAGTTGGCAACCCAACGTGAGCTAGTCCCAAGTGGCCCATAAAAGAAGGAGGAAGACCGCCGACAGAATTCGTGAGGCACAGTTGAGGACCCCTTAATTCTTCTAGGCATTTTTGGTCTCTTCCAACACGCATTATTCAAGTTCCGTAGGCAGATGACTCACTTAATAGGATAAAAATCACGGGAACGCGGTTTACTGATTAGCAATTTGAATAGAAAGACCACAAAAGCGCTGTAACACTGAAGTCCGCTTCAAAATGTCCGTGGCGTCAGGACATCCACATCAGGCAACCATGAGTAGTGCATTACAAAAATATATATGTATCGCGATATCTCGAATATGGTAGCTACTGAAACATGAGGCGGCCTGGTGCAGCACATTCAGTTGCCTGGAAACACAAAAACCGAGAGATTCAGCTGGGTTCCAGGTGAGTCTCGGGAAACACCAAATTAGTTTGCGAATGAGCGTATTTCGACAGTAATCATTATTCTGCAGATTGACGAACGAAAGATACATCGCTGTAAAAATGAACCGCTGAGTAGTAGTGGCTATCCTATTTCGCCCATCTCTTCTGGCAAATGTCAGGGCTCCAGAACAATTCCTCTGACCACAGGAAAATGCTGGGAGTCATATTCAGCCGGATACCAATGGCCTCTAAGTTAAATTGACCGAAGAGTCTGCTTAAGAGGTAAATGCTGATTACTGGATTCGATCCTCGATACAGTAGGACAATGAATTTGTTACGGCGGGATAAGATGGATGACTGGTAGGCTCTGAAAGGCACAAAGTATGAGTTCTACTTCGTTGACGTTTAGAGCCCAGTGGATTAAGATGCGTCTGGCGGTACTTTTAACAACGCAAACGTGTTTCATACAGTCGGAACTACAGTGTTGTGAGGTTTTTCGTTGCTTCTATTTAGACATCAACAGGAAAAAGCGGATACAAAAAATGTTGGTGCACTTAGCACCATCCTAGTACACCGTGGGCCTGACAACCAAGCGGAAATCTCTATACCCCAGCAGGGAATACATGTCGACACATTTGGCCGGTTTCCAGAAACGAGTGGACAGTATTCACGATGAGCAGGCCCTACTTTGGTCTGTCCCGTTGTTCTATTCAGAGGTCAGTGTGAACACGTTTCGCCTGTTCAGACGCGATAATTCAGATACGTCCAACGTGAGTTGGTGGAGTAGTGGTCACACGCTCGCCTCGCATGTCAGGATGTCTGGGGTTGAAATCCCGGTACGGCCATTAGATATGCACTGCTGATGAGCTCTAATAAGAGCGAAACTGGAGTCCAGTGCCTCCCGTTGGTGTGGACTCAGCGGAATAATTATGCCAGAACAGGAACACGGCCGTTCAGACGAGAGTGGTGTGGCTATGAACAAACGTGCCTGTCCCGCAAAACCCCTAAATTGCAATCACATTAGATAAATGGCAAAAATCGATTCGTCGCAACCAAGCGGTTTTTCAGGATTTATTCTATCCTTTGTCAACGACAGCAAGAAGTGCACTTAGGAAACTGCTTGTCAGTAGTCTATTAACAAAATGCGTGTGCAGTAAATATGAAGAGAGATTCGTGCGTGCAGTAGACTCGGCAGTGCACAAAAGAGAGCGTTACAGACCGGAGAGGGGAGAGACAATAAACATATGTGAATGACAAGTTGATAACTTAAGGCCTCGGCGTGGTGGTTGTTCGGATTGCGCTAGGCGTGGTTTGTGGACGCTTTGGCTGTTCGCTACCGATTCCTGGTAGATTTCTTGCAAGTGACTGACTTGGTGGGGTCAGATCTCCCGGTTTCCCAGTGAGAGAAAACAGTTTCTCGGTGGACGTAAACGGTGTTTTGGGTTTGGCAGTATGCACCCGCGCAGTTGTTTTCTGGGGCTGGCTGGTGCCGGCCGGCTCAGGTTGTTTGGTTTGGGTTGACTTGCCGGTGGTTTTCTTGACAGGTTTTGGAGTTGGAACTGGTTCCAAAACTGTCTCACGGCTAACACTTTCTGCGGGTTCGCTGGTGCTCAACGGAAATACCATATTGGCATTTGATGGTCGGATAAGGAGCTGCAAATTGAAGATATTGAAGAAATGGAGTATCAGACCCTCACTCTCACCATAGTTTGTTGCTTAGAAACAGCACTTGGTTTTACATGGCTATGATTCATCCCGTTTGTTAATAGTTCCTCGGCCTAACATGAATACTTACACAGCCCTGCCAGCAATACACCAAGAACTGGCGCTTGGAACGCCACCTTATTTTGTGTGATGGGTAGCCGCGTGTTAGGTGGACAACCCTAACCAAGAGTACGCCGGCCAGTTCAGTGAGAGAAGGCTCAGTAGTTGGGGTAAGAAGTTACTGACCAGAAGGTCTGTGGCTCGAGCCCGACCTCTGCCCCTCGATTTCTCCTGTCTAGGCTTGGGCAAGCTCTCGTGCTTCCCTCGGGTGGCACGGCGGCTAGGCACCGAAAGAGTGTTACAGCTGAAAGGGGTTCGGTTCGCTCTGATCAATCCGTATGCGTTAATCGAATTCTTTAATATGTGAAGGGCCGTGCATAGCGGGCAAAGAGGACAGTTCGTCTCAAGCTACCACGGAGGTATCTGGAAGTCTTGTGCAGCATTCCAGTGGGAGGTTCTTCAAGCAGTAAATCTAATTTAATCAAGACTGAACAGATGGAGCATACCATATAGGTATTCACAAGTTGTGAGCAAGTATCTGCATCGGAGACTGTGAACGTATGAGAAATTGTGTGTAGGTAACTGGAAATGGTATCGTGCTGATTAGGCAATTGTAAAGGGATGCAGCGTGTCGAAATCACGATGGATTAGGCCTGGGTTTTTGCAGATTTATACGTAAATGCACTCGAAAGAAGCTTTCATGCTGGTTTAAGCAACTCTATTGAGATGATGGGGATCGCAAATCTTCAGTAGGATTCTTACTCACAACCTCCTAGCTAACAGCTGAAGGCCAAACCATTCGGCCACGTGCCAACCGTTGGCACACACACACTTGAATATTGCATAGCGCCACTCATAATGCAATCAAGCAAATCACACCAAATAGTCACCCTGGCTCCTCGAATTACTTCTCAAACGGAAGGTTCAAAATTAGAGTGAATTATTCTTCCTTCTGAGCTACTTGTGTAACGGTGATGCTACTGATGGGGAGGCATGCGAGTAGTAGGTATTGTTCTTGGAATTTCGATTTGCGTCTATTGAAAAGGGGAGATTTGTTGTGGAATTTGTGGAGTAGCTTTGTAACATTTGCTTGGATTTGAGCAATGAATGATTAGAGTTAACCAATATTCAGGAAAGTTCAAGATGTGTTCAGGAGAAAATGGATGTTCAGTTTTTGTAAATAAGATGCAAGTGAGAGTTTTGCTTCCCTGCCCAATGGTCTGTAACCGGTCAGTTGGCGTTTTCTAATAAACAAATCCGCAGCAAAGGTCGTTCTATTTTCACTTGTACTTCGTACAACAAGAGGGGGAACAATTTACACATGTAATTCAATTCAATTCAAGGTAATTCAAGGTTTAATGGTCTAAAAAGCAGTTAACTTTACAACGACCATAGGGTGAACGTATATATACAAAGGGACGCAAAAATATGCGTAATGTTTGCTGAGTATCACATGGAGTTAAACAGTTCCAGATTCGGTTTGGACATAAGATATGCATCTAAATTGTTCTTGAAAATGGTTAAACTCGGCGAATGTACAACATTGGGAGGTAGGGAGTTCCAAATGAAACATACACGGACCGCAAAAAAGTTCCGTCGACAGTTCACCCTCGAGTGAGGTACCGCGAGCGAAAAGTCATGCCTCCTGCCCGTTCGTGGTCGACGTCGGACAAAAAGATTTTCCAGCGGATGATTAGGTGTCTTCAGTATATTATATGTTAGAATTAGGTCTCCCCTGATGCGCCGATAGTAGAAGTCAAATAGGTTGAGACTGGCAATCCTGTCTTCGTATGGTTTATTATGCAATCCAATTACCAGCTTCGTGGCTCGATGATATATTCGCTGTAGATGAATTATGTCTTTTTGAAGCCATGGTGACCAAGCTTGTATAGCGTACTCCATGGTTGGTCGGATGTAGGTCTTGCTTACTCGGGGCAGTGCCGGTCGAGTGAAACGACCAAAAATCCGGTTTAGGAGCGACAGGACTTGTGAGGTCCTCTTGTAGACGGCTGTGCATTGCAAGGAGTTTTTTAAACAGCTGCTGACCCACACGCCAAGATCTTTTTCTTCACTAGTCCAAGAAAGTGGTTGTGGACCCAGCGTATAGTTATATGCAAAGGGCTTTTGGAGGTTAAACGTTAGTCTGTTTTTCAGTGACCAGTCATAAAGTGTACCGAGATCTTTTTGTAATCGGTGACTGTCTTCAGTGGTGAGCAGCGTTTCATCTGAGAAGTCGTTACTCAAGTAGTCCGTCAACCTCACTTTCTTAGTTTTAGCATGAGTTGTACCATGCACTAACTATGAACGATTTCATCAGATTTCAGAGCAGCTGCTGTTCAACCACTAGCCGGTAGGTCGCGAGTTCGAAACCCCCCACTGAGATTTCGTAAAATACACACTGATTCACAGTGAGGAAAAACAGCTGTTCAGTGCTTCTCAGCTTTTCATGATAGACTGATTTCACACAATAGCTTTACTAAACTAAAGTTGAATACATTGGTCAAACAGACCATAAACATTGTCTAGAGAATGACTTTACTCACCAAAAGGCTTATGTAGGCCCCAATACTCACGGCCTCATCCCAAATACGTATCATTGTTTCCGTGTACGGTTTGTGAGAAAGTTCTACCGTGATAAACGTCCAAAACGGGGTGTTCAGAAACCTGAAAGTCGAACAGACTGAGTGTTAGTTCCATTGGAGATGGTTCGTCTATTCGATGTGAGGCATTCGTCAAAGGTAATAGAGTACAAAAGTTTTCACCTAACTTTCCATGGACTACCTCCTTGCTTTCGCATGTGGCACTGTGCTTTTCCTGACCCACTGGTGCGGTTTTCCACACATACTACTATTTTTATGACTGACAGCAGTATGAAAAGCCACGCAAATTCAATTCATTATTATGAGTTTGAAATTTGTGATCCTCTGATGCCCCCATAATCCGCATACTTGTTTTCAGGAATGATGATTTGAAAAATACAAGTTAAGATACTACTGCTAAGGTCGATTAAAACTCTGGCCAACCCACTTCTACTCCCAAAGCCTCTCAAGTATGCTTAGTTCCCTAGTCTTTAGTTAATCTTCCATAATCAACCGGAAAGTCGAATTTTGCGTATACATTGACACTCATTTGCAAATTGAGTCGGCATATCCGACAAGTCTTGAAAAATCCAAACTCTTCGCTTCTCATGTATGAGAGGGAGGGAGAGTGAATGAATTCTGTAGACAGTTTGAGAGCAGTATGGTTGCTATCCAGTTGTCTTCAGCGTATCTCAAGTTGTCTCAAGTTGTCAAGTTGGACAAATTTTGGCATCGTGTGTTCCATCACCTATCAATCATCTGAATATGCTTTTTGTTGAGGAACAACCGAACGTTGATTCTATCTTACGGCCGTCAGCGTTGAGTTTTGCTGTAAGATGAGGCTAAAGTAAGTTGAGAGTAGCGAATATACACTCATTTGCAAACTAATTTGGTTTTTCGAGAGACTCACCTGGAACCCAGCTGAATCCCCCGTTTGTGATGTGAGAGTAATGCTGAATGTGGACTTTATTTGGTAACATCTACAAACTACTTGTAAGTAGCACTTCTCAAGGAAACTCACCAAGCAGAGTAGAACGCACCAAGCCGAATGAAGAACAAACGCTTTTCGGTCCAGTGGACTATGGTGTAACTGGTGCTTAGCCAGAACCCGATTGCGGCCATGATTTGTAGGGCGACAAAAACGTAGGCTGGTGGCGAGTGGTACCGTGACAAAATGTCCCCGCGATCTTGAACCTGAAATGTTGGAAATGGTAACGGCCTTTTCAGGTAGTTGCGTGTAGTTCACAGAGCTGCTGGTCCCTGTGAGTACTGATTCAGTAGACAGGAAGAAGGCTGAATATTCGTGTGAAGATTGCTTTGTTTGAGGACTAGACGTTCGAAATTTCTTGCCCCTTGGATCCACCTCTTTTTTCGAAAATCTCATCTGAAATGTGTTCACTGGCCCTATTGTACTCACAAGTAGGCACGCTGGGGTGTCTGTTGGCTGCAGTTATTCATCCTTCATCAACTCACTTCTTACTTTCTAGAGGGTCAAGCAAGGACCGTTTGAACGAAATTAGGTCAACCAAGGAAAACATATAAGGACTAGAGCCTTCGTTGACTCCTACATACATCAGCTGTTTTTATACATTATCACGTACATCAAGTAGAGGGAGGAAGGATTTACGGAAGAGGGCCAACCTTTGTAACTCCTAACCAAGCTTCCTGGCAATGATGCATGTAGGATTCTGACGTTGAAAAAAGGATGTACCGCTTTGCGTGATTCCCATATCCAATAATTGATTTTCCACTCAGTAAGGATGAGAAGTGGATAAGAGACTCATATTTAACCGGAATCGAGGGCGTATGGAATAAGCCAGATGAAACTGCATAATTCAATCTTCCGGTTGCCCAATGGCTGCAGTTTCCTACTCAGTACCAAAAGGAACCGACCTTGGATCCAGCCAGATTCTATTGGTTGCACCCAATCTGTTGTTTTGGTATGAGACAGTGAACGCTAGTTTTCGTCAGGAGCCTGGCCTCAATGTGAAACAATTCTTTTCAACTCAGCTCAGAAGGTCTTAAAATACCTTTGTGTTTGATGCGTAGTAGTCACAGCAACTGTCCTCCCAAAATCTTTGAGTAGTCGAACGACTGTCAAGCAGGGACATTGATATCCGTAGAAGAACATCTCTGATTTGCCAAACCATAAATACTTGGGCATATCAGCAATGAAAGCTAGAACGGTGTCATCAAATAACCGTTAACAATATACCAAAAGTTACACTAGAATATACTCCTAAGTGATGTTATAGCCAAAATACAACAAGAATACCAAGTCACGCACGCACAATAAGACGTCGCACGAATCGGTTGATGATCATTACTGATCATTACCACACGAAGACTTAAGCAACAAACAGATTTTTCTGAATATCTTTGCAATGTACTACTCATAAGGTTGCTGAAAACCCGTCGATAGCCCACCACCAGATTTTTCTGAAGTTCAAGTTTTGAATAGAAAGAGGGGCCTTAGAAATGAGCAAGTAGGGTGAATCGCTTTCTGTGAAAGTGACACTTTTCTCGAGGGAAAATCAAAGGCCTTCCGTTTTCTTTTGCCTCCAAGTTTATGCGCAGTGTCTTTGAGCAATCACACTGGTCACCGTTTATAAAATGGACAGTAAAATGCTGGAGAATAGAAAGTCCCGTACAGTTCAGCCTTTTGCAAAGTTATTTTTCGAACAAGCATGTCGCTGATTACCTTGACGGCTCGCCCACAAATTGTGCCTTAGAGATACTAATGTTGATCAGTCCAATGCCACTCGGTATCCATGGCGCGTCACCATAGTGCTGATCTAAAAAAGCCCACGAATGGTTTGAAGGACGTGAAAATAAATGCTAATGAGGACCACAGATCCAACCATGGCAGACGACCCGACATCGAATCTTGTTCACACCACTGATCAGATATGTATACTGATGAATCATCATGCATGCGGAGCGGCATTCATTTTTCCTCGGTAACCTTGACTTGTCCCCAAAGGATTCAGTTGACTTGCCGAACCAGAATTGCAGACTGGAATTTATGCACTATATATGCGAATAAGATTTTACCGATGGTGAAAGCAGCAACCTGGAACCGAGGTAGTGAAGGGAGAACTAACCACAGCAAAGCTATGAACGCATTCTACCACTGAAAGGAAGAAGGTCTTCGCTGCGTAGTCGTTTATTAGGAAACGCCAGCTGACCAGTTACAGACTATTGAACAGGAAGCAAAACTCTCATTTGCATCCAAAAGCTAAACATCCATTTCTCTTGAACGCTTCTTCCCAAACTTTCATGGCTATTCATTGACTATTTCTCAAATCCAAGAAAACGCTACAAAGCGGCTCCACAAATTCCGCAATAGATCTCACTTTTCCAAGAGACGCAAAGTGAATTTACAAGAAAAAACCATACTACTCGCATTCTTCCCATCAGTAGTATCACCCTTACACCACTGTGTTTACTTATCACGCACTCATTTAGTCCTCTCTCTACTGTTCTATTGGCTCTCAGGTTGGAAAAGTTTGCTACCAAGAAGCAATAAACGTGAAGTCATTCAATGGATAACCATGACTTACCAGCTCAATGGCCACCTGACAACAGGCGTTGGTCAGGGTGTAACAGATGAGAAGCAGGAGAAGCACGATGGCCACGACTCTGGTGAACACGTGATGTACAACTGTGTATCCACTACTCAGAAGCAGCAGACTGGCAAACAGCGTACTCATCGAGGTGCTGTAAAGCAGTTGAGCTAAAGAGAGGGGAAGAGGTTTTGGGAGTGAAGAGATTTAACGGAAAATCAAAGGCTGTCAGCCCACGTCCGCCGGAATTTGTGGCGTCAATTCCCATCTATATTTAGTGTTTTTTTAAACCATTGTTTCATGGCTATGCCTTCGAAATATGTTATTTCTGCGGTATGGATGGTTCAATCAGCTGAAGTACTATTTCCAAACTAATTGTTCTTTGTGGAACTCCCAAGTGATCCCTTCTCAGGGGTGTAAAACACAAAAAAACTGGCAGAAGGAATAGAATCTATTTCGAACGTAACACTCAGTTGACTTACACCCAAAAATAGTTAACACAGACTTTGCTGAGGCTTACTCAACTCCAGTGGATTTTAGCTGCAATGGTACGCTTGCCCATGTGTGGTCATCTACTTCCTGATAACCCTTTTATGGGTTATCGGAACCAAACTGAGCTAGAAAGTCAGTCCGTTTAGACCAGGGCTTTTGATTTTTTCTTCCAAAAACATCAACACATGCGACGTTACCATTAATTCCGTGGAAAAAAGTCAGCAAGCTTGACTTTCAAGCGAAATGACTGTGGAACACTAAGAGAAACACTTCAATATCAGCTGACTGACGAGTGAACTCGTTCCCGTCCTCTAGCAGTACTTTAAAAAATCAGTCTGTCCAGATCTTTTGTAAGCGAATATCACCACAGATTTAGCCGCTGAAGTACACCATAGGTTTCGGAGTGTGACGCGTTCTTCCTCAGGTCCACACGTGATTGTGTATGGATGGCATCTGCTTGGAATGAGAAGCTGTTAGTGGTATTCAGCTGGTTAAGCAGGACATTTATAATGCTATAACGCTGGAATTGTACCTAAAAATCAGGGCTAGAAGCATGTTACAACCAAAAGTACACTGTGGATTACTTCTAAAGTGAGTCCAAAGTACCTGGAATAGCTCAGGTCACTTGTGTAAACGCTGATGGACAGCGATTAGACTAGTTGAAGCTGTCCAACGCGTCGACAGCTTCGACAGAGTGACCTTCAACACGATTGTTAAAATTATTGCGTTCGCTGTTGTTTTTGTGTGTTAGTCACGCCGAAATTGAAACCTAGTGGGATTTGCCCCCAACACCTCCACAAATTTGAAACAGAAGCGCAAAGTGGCGGTGCCGCATGAGTTAAGCCAAGTGCACACGCGTCAGCTGATTCTAGACGGAAGCTGAGACACAAGTGGACTGTGCTCACTGGACGTTTAGACCACAATGCAAGAGCGAAGCCGATGACGTACAAAAAACACAACCTGTTTCAAAATAAACGGAACTCAGTCAAAACGAGTGAGCAACACAAAAGTCATGGATAAGTTGCGTTAGATGGGCACCGAGCACTCCAAGTAGCACGCTGCTAACGTAGCAAGTCGAGGACGTGTAGCCACCCAGTCACCCACACAGTTAGCTGTTCAGCTCACTGGATCATCGGATATGTCTTTTTTCATACTCGCAAACGCGTCACATTAAGGTGACCCATCGGACATCAATTGGCGGTAGCAACTACGCATGTGCTGACGCGCCCACGTGCGCGCAAACGGACTTGTATATAGGGCAACCGAGCACAGTCAACACACACAGACTCGCGCGCGCGCAGGGAGCAAAGAGTAAGCCAAACACTCCAAGTCCACGGACAACTATGGAACACGTGTAGCAGCCAAACTGCGGAGAAAACACGTTCCCACCATCCGGTCTTTCACCAAGGCACTCTCACATTAGATAAATTGCCTTTTACTTGCTCCCCATTTCGCAACCCACCACTGCCATCCGGTCTTTCACCAAGGCACTCTCACATTAGATAAATTGCCTTTTGACTTGCTCCCATTTCGCAACCCACCACTGTCAACCATAGTAAAAACTTTTATTAGCGCACACACCTTCTGCTCTGTATTAAGGAAATCATCAACAGCAGTGCACTAATAGACTTAGATTGCGGAGGTAATATCAGAGCTTTTGACAACAAAGGATATCAAAGATCCAAAGTTCTTTAACGATTTTTCGAGATTTACTACCAAAAACTCGGCTTCGTGGCCAGATAGTTCACTCACAATTGCTGCTACACGTGACTTCAAGGATAACATCGTGTAGTGTTTTACCTGATGTATACCGGGAACGGCAACTCTGAATGCAGAGCAACAGTGTGTGGACAAGTCCCGGTGGTCTCCTTTCAGATTGATGGATCGAGCTAGAAATACTTACATATGACCGCCAAAGCTTGACTGTAGATGCCCGTGACCGCGAATTGAAAAGTACAGATCAGCCGGATTATTTGAGCAAAAGACCTTGATCCGATAGAGCAAAGCCACAGATAAACGGTTGGGTGTAGCCGATGAAGTCGAAAAAGATGATCTGTAGGGGAGAAGGGGAGCATTGTTTAATAGTTGAAGTAAGCAGGCATAGGGACACAGCACAGGTTTAGGTTTTCCAGAAATACACTCATTTGCAAATCAATTTGGTTTTTACGACAGGCGCAACTGAATATCTCGTTTATGATATTCTACAACTGAAACATGAGGCGGCCTGTGTGCAGCACCTTCGTGAACGAGGGATTCAGTTGAGTCTCTCGTGAAATCAAATTGATTTGCAAATTAGTGTATTTCTCGAAAGCAGTCCAATTTGGGTTCAAGTAGAACATACGGCTGACGGAAACTCGAGGATTGCGCCTACCTGATGAATCCCAAGAAGGAAGAAACCGGTAGTGGGCTGTCGAAGAGTTTTCAGCGACCATGTGAGTAGTTTCCTTTATGAAATTTAGATTTTATTCACCAGCGTCAAGTTTGCTATGCCGAGAAGATCGCAGTTTAAACCCACTAACAGTGCTGGCTTCTGTGCGTTACTATGAATAAAACTAGAAACGAGTATCAGCCGAGGCCTACCTGGTAACAGGCAGCCTCCTCTGTTCCTACCCGTTCCCCGACTGAAGTGAAAGATCAAACAGAAACTCTCTGAATAAGGGCCACCACACACTGTGCCAGCTTTTTACACGACAGAGAACAATGAACTTAGAAACATAATAAACGAGAAATTCAGCTTGGTTCCAAAATGAATGAGTGTGTTTCGCTAATTCCAGTACATTTTGATTTGAAGTAGAACATAATTTTGTCGGAAACTCGGGGCCTGCGCCTACCTGACGAGTTCCAAGAAGGGTAAAACCGGTTGTGGGCTGTCGAAGAATTTTCACCGACCATATGAGCAGTATATTACGTCTAAACAGCGAACCTTGTCAACATACTGGCTGGATGGTGTTACAGACAACATAATAGAGACTGGAAAAATTGCTTTAATAATGTTTGGCTCTATGGCCGTCAGTGCCGCTGTACCGGAAAGCACAATGTGTCCTCTCCCTTTAGAGAAAGAATACAGATCACAAGGCTGAATAAGAAAGGTATCTCGCCGTGGGATACTGTAGCACTCAAATTAGGACAACGAAAGAGTTTGACTCCACTACCAACATAGATGTCTTCCAATGGGCAGAGGGCCACTTAGAAAGGACTTCTTCAAAACGACCCGTATAGTCTAATACACCCTCTCATAGATGAGGCCATCTGTCTGAATCACACCGTTGGGGTGTGGTCAAAACTAAGCTAAGCGTAACCACAAGAAATCCATATAAGTGTTTAAGACATATTCGTAGCACACGATGCTTGCTTTTTGAGTCTCATGCAAACCACTTTTGGCATGAAACCAATATTGCAGCACCTCTTACTGCACAAATGTTTCTAGTAAGACCTCAATTATTAGTCTTTTATTTTTGAAGGGCATAGTCACAAATATAATAAGTGAATACAAGCGACGAATGCGACGAAAGGGTAACAGGAGAATATGGCAGAAAAGAGAGAAACGTCTTATTCGAATTCATGCCACCAACAGTTCCAGTCAGATGAGATGAATCCTAACGTATGTAAAAACTTTGGTTTGGAAGCACACGTCTAAAGATGAACAACCGGAGAAAGGACAAACAATGTTGTATGCTCTTTAAGGCGCTAGCACAATGAAGACTTGCACATTAGGCACAAAGTGCCCGTCATACTGGGTCTGATGTGAGATTAAATGGCAAAAATGTACATTCAACGCCATGTGCCACGCAGAGAGCCCACAATGGCAAGCAAACACAAGTCACTGACTGTGGCCCTAGGTTTGCCATCATTCGACAGTGATATTTTCTTCAAAAGTTACCATTGATGAACGGAGACAAATGTAGACAAACCACTCACAGCTGACATGGACTGCCAGTCCAGCAAGTATTGCCAAAAAAATGCCAAAAACGATATCCATTTCCAGTGAACCTGGTGAAGAGGAACAGAAAAAAAACTGTGAAGGTTGTGCGCGTGGGTCACTGTCGAGCTTCGTGTTTAGTAATGTACAAACACCGATATATCGGTTCGAATGTAAACTGTTTATGTTCCCTGTACACTCTGATTTCATGTATATGGTTAGCATGTGCAAGCGCTATCTTTGTCTTATTACTACTTTGAGATGTACCACAGCATCGAATGGCTGCGAAAGTTGAAAAATTCGATGGTTTTTACCCGAGACCGAAAGAACTTTAGGCCCAAGGTCGAACATTCGTGAGTTATGATCCTTCGCCGACATCTTGAATACCAATGAGTCAATGATGAACGCTTCGGCATCCACGCTCATTTTGTGCATGAAGGCCGCTCATCGAATCAGAACGCACAGCGGAGCAAGTTGGTTGGTTTGACTCCGTTTGACCTGCCGGTGGAACCGGAGTTGGGTAAAACCTTGTTTTCTTATATTTATTAAATGTATTTTTTAAAAAAAACCCACCAAGTGATGTTGTGAATCTATTCTGGCTTTAAATTTACATATCAAGGATTTCTTATAGCCATCGGGTCTTGGGTTTGAGGAAACAGCAGTATCGCCAATATTACTGTCCTCAGGTGTGGCACGTTGCAACTTCTGGGAATCGTCTTCGGCTTTCTGCTGGCCCACCGACTCAGAAGCTCCGGTCAGAAGGTTCAAGAGGCCGGATGATTCCGGGCGGAAAGGTTGTTGTCGTCCCCTGTGATTCGATAACTATCGCCATTTCACCATCAAGATGTTATCCCTTTTCGGTTGACTGTCCCATGGGAAATATCATCAAGATGCTATCCCTTTTCGGTTGACTGTTCCATGGGAAATAAACAAGTTCCGCCGTAGGGCCGCCTGTTACTGCGGACACATTCCGGGGTTCTTTCAACTCTGTTACCAACATCTTGCGGCTGCAGAACATCCTGGAGAATGAGCAAAAACTCTTTGTGGCAAATATCACCCACTTATTTGGAAAAGTTTTATTGTGCCATGATTCTGAGATGAAATTCCCCCACCCCCTGATTCCCATGGGCGAAAAATCCTTGTGTTCTTGTAGCCCTAACTAGTTTTTTTTACCTGATATCGTTAAAGTTACTAGGATCCTTAATCTGATTTCTAGTGTGACCGATTGCAAAGACCTATTGACTTAAGCTGTAGACGGAGCCTAACCGTCCCTCTAAAAGCTTCAAAAGCATCTTCAAAACTCGAGGAGTAGACGTTTTAAAACCCTAGAAGTGGGAAGAATTTGCATTGTACTCTGGAAGAGTACTTCCCCGTAAGTATAGTGTATGCTCTACCCATAAGGTTGCTGAAAATTCTTCGACAGCCCACAATCGGTTTTGCCCTTCTTGGGGCTCATCAGGTAGGCGCAGTATCCGAGTTTCCCCCAACCCTATGTTCTACTTGAACCCCTAATTGCACGAAATCAGCAAAGTAAGCTCATTTGGAAACAAATCTGGCTTCGCAAAGGACTAACCTGGAACTCTGGAACCGGTAGTAGGCTGTCAAAGAATTTGCAGCAACCTTATGAGTAGTGTATTACGTCTGTGGCAATATCTCAAATATCGTAGCGAATGAAACATGAGGTGCCCTGGTGTTGCTACTTGCCTGGAAACATCACAAACGAGAGATTCAGCTAGGTCCAGGTGAGTTCAGCTAGGTTCCAGGTGAGTCTCTCGCAAAACCAAACTAGTTCGCAGATGAGTGTAGTTTGCTAATTTGGTGCGATTTGGGTTCATGTAGAACATAAGGTTGATGGAAACTCGGGGACTCTGCCTACCTGATGAGCCCCGAGAAGGGTAAAACCAGTCGTAGACTGTCAACGAATTTTCAGCAACCTTATGGGTAGTGCACTTGTTTTCCTATGTTTATTTAATGTATTTAAAAAATCATACCAAGTGATGTCGTGAATTTATTCTGATTTTAAATCTGCATATCAACTATCATCCCAAGTGTTTTGAACAAATTTGTTTAAAGCGCATAATTTCATAACGTCGGCAATCCATTCAACCTGAGTGATCTAGTCAGCACTACAAGACTGAAAGTTGGTTGACGCCCTTTGGCAATGTCTTTGAGTGGTCGGCCATCTGAAGGGTTGTGCATTCAACTGGTTCTTGATACCATCTACTGATCAAAACAGCCGTAGAAACTGCTCATCTACTCCACACAAAATAATCTTATCTGCAATGTATGATAGTATTTCATTAGTTTACAAGGGTTTCTGATAATAGTTTCAGAAAGACTGAACTGACGCCGTTCCCCCACTTGAAATTATTGGCCAACATATTGCCCGTATTCATTGAATTCCTTGAGAATGACTGACCATCATACTATGGCCAATCCTGAAAAAATATAGCCTGGATTTGATTGGACAAGCGGCTGACCTTGCGGCCAAGGTCAAGGTAGCCGACAAGCGCGAAATCACTTCCAGAGAGTGCTTCCCTCCATTGGTTCAACTGCTTCCGCGTTTGAAAATATCATTCAAGTGAATTATTTACAGAAACCTAATTTTCATCATGTTAACCTTAACCACAAGTGACCACAAGATGAGTATAAGAGAAAACCTCTGAAACGAATTGCTTTGGATAACTGCTGAGTACTTCCACACTCGCTATCACAACAAGAAAACACAGCTAGTGGGTTGTGTACAATTCGTTTTTAATCCATCAACCGCGTAATGGAAACAGTTGGCTTACGGAAGGAAGTGATGAATGGAATGAACCAGTAAGCAGACCAGCTGGGTTCAAGAAAACCAATCACGAGAAAACTAATTCCAGACATACCAAGGACTTCTGCGCGCGTAGACTCTGTTGGTGTTGAGTGACCAGTATGATCTTGCTGAAAACTGACAGTTTCGAATCAACACCTCTGAACAATGTTCTTGGGTCATTCTCTTGGTCGGTGTCTTGGATATACATCATTCTCAGTTAGTCTATCTGTACCATATATTTACGTCGCCATGGGGATAAAATCCTGGACCACGATTTCAAAAACCGGTGTTTCAAACTCACAAAGTCCCTGGCCCCCGGGCCCCCTAATACATACACATGCTTTTTCAGAAATAGGGACGTCAAATTAATCTCATTCGTTTGATACCTCAAACACCTTTTACTAGGTGTTGAATACCCACCGGTTCAAGTAGAACATGAAGCTGGCGGAACCTCGAGGGCTGAGCCTACCTAATGAGCATCAAGAATGGGAAACCGGTTATGGGCTGACGAAAAGTTTTCAGCAATTTTATGAGTAGTATTTTGCTAATAGACAACAATCTATGTGTTTCCGTGTACGTGTTGTCCTGTTGAACACTGAGCAACGCTGAAACAATTAGTTTATTTTTCTCCACATTCATTGATCCAAACGAATTTCTGTGGCAATACGGAAAATTTATAACCGGGTGAGCAAACTGCAATAAGAAAAGCTGCTTTGTCCATTTTCAGGGAAATTATAGAACATGTTTGGTGCATTAACTTGAAAGTTGATGTTCGGTAACCGTTCATAAAAAATTAAAACCTTAAATTCTTGGTTTCGGGATCCTTTTATCCTGTTTACATCCTGTTTTGGGGAAGTTCATTGCTAAACTTTTGTACTTGAATCGTTGGCAAATTGGTAACTGATGTATTCAGTGGCGTTTCTTATAGTAAATACATCTAATCAGTATGAAAAGGGAGTATGAAATTGTCGAAAGCTGTTCAGTAGATCTGGGACAGGGCACTGTCTGGTTAGACTTGTTTGTTACGGTCTCAAGGCCCTTGTGTGTACTTTATGGTGACGGAGGGTAGGGTGAATTGAAGGCATAGTGATCTCCACGGCTGTTTTCAGTGCTGGTTGGAACATAGCCTCAGAAAGATCCAGTGACACCCAGTAGATCAGTGAACGGTTTGGCTGGGTTGATCTTTTGTTGGGTATTGACCAGGTCACATGATGGTCAGTCTAGTTCAAACGTGGTAAGTTTTGTGCTCACGAATATTCTCAGATCCGGGCGAAATGGTATGTATGACTCGGCTATTGATTTCTGGGCGCTGATAAACAAACAAGGAGATGGACACTGATGAGACACAGAAAAACATCGTATCCTTGCAAGTGACTTTGAGTATTGAATCACTGCTGAATTTGACCCTTCCGTTTTAAGGAATCGGTTTAACAATAGATAAGCATTTGATAGACCGTGTCGTGGATGGGCTGTCACGTGATCTTTGCTTTCCTCAGTTTAGGTTTTCCATCTAGAGTTTGCGGGTAAGCTGCAGGTCAGCCTCACGACCATCATTGTGGGATATTCTACAGACTGTTTGAGTTTTTAATCACAAATTAATTACATTTTTTGGGATTTGGTGCATTACCCTACTACTTATATTACTGGGATATACTCCTCTTACGTGAACCGTTATATCCTTCTACCAATGGAGGACCGGCAACGTGTTATGTGTTTTCTAATCCCCAATAAAACTGAGTGAAGCGTGACAGGAGAGTCATTGCCGGGTCCGTAAAAGAGAAGCCTTGGTCCCGTTTACAAAGGACTGGTTGCACAAACTTTGGCTAAAAAAACAATGTGGTGAAGCTTGCTCGGAAAAAAACAGTAGCTAAAACTGGGATGTGGGAGCAGTTTATCGAAAATGTGTCGATAGATAGTGCCAACGCCGGGTTTCTGGTAATATAAACACCCATGAGACTATTCAGTATATTGTGCACACCGTCGTGTGGCGAAGATTTGGATAGTCTTGCTGTGATCTAGACACTCTTACTAGACGAAAAATTTATTTTTTGGATGCTGTGTTTAAGAGGTACGATATAGAAAACTAGGCGACGAAGAGGCTGGGAAGAACGACGCAACTATGGCCAACACGGCTGGAGGCAAAAAAAATCTGTAGAGTCTTCTCATCCTGAGGGACCATGAAACGTTGGGAGCATTGTATCCGGGGTTAATTATCCCAAGTAAACAATGTTCATCATTGGGTTTCGGTAGATCTCCTTGCGGGAACCAGGTAACAACTCCAGAGTGGTTTTGAACAAAACATGAAAAATAAGATCGTTTGCGCCAGGCGTTCTACAAAGTACTCGGCACTGGGATTTACCTACCGAATTTCTGAGCTGAAAAATGTCCGTGGAATAAATCCCCCTCCAGGCCGTTCCGTGAGGTGAGTCGGTAACGTGCTTGCAATCCAGACTGCTTCAGCCTCGAATCCTGAGCGTAAAAAGACTGCGTGGAGAGGAAGGACAAAAGGACAGAAAGACATTTACCCGGGAACCAAAGAGGCATCCTTAAATATGAATTGGAAAGGTTTTCTAAGGATAATCACCGTGAACGAGAAACTTTACCTCTGTAATACTGTAAAGTAGGTTAAATTGATAAAGAAAACTACTTACAAGGTTGCTGAAAACTCTTCGACAGCCCACGACCGGTTTCGCCCTTCAACTTCGGGCTCATCAGGTAGGCGCAGTCCCCGAGTTTCCGTCAACCTTATGTTCTACTTGAAATTTAATTTAAATTAACTTGAAATTAATTGAAATTAATTTCTATCGACCGATGAATTCTCCGTTTCTACCGCCTTGGAGTCGGGTAAGTATACGTGAAAATGTGTGTGGATTCTGATCACGGAAGATAGAGGAACATCCTAGTTCCTTTTTTCATTTTACAGATAGGACAAATGAGTTTCTGTTTATTACAAATTTTGTTTGAGCACGCTTCATCAATCAACGTAACCGGCATGACGGCTAGCCATTTTGCTAGCTGAGCTCTTGCCAGCCGATGGCGCTGTAGTACATAGGCTGGTGATCTCAGCAACCTGTCGCGAAAGCAGTACAAAGAATGGACGGAAAAGATACCACATTTTCAGCGTGAAACCCTATTTTCTGCTTGTGGACGGTGCTGAGAAACCCCCTCTAGGACCAAGCACCTACCCATCCGGCGTAAATGCTTTAATTTAGATGTTGACAACAACGGTGTGTTCCTTTTTAGGTTGGGGAAGTCGAAACCGTTAGAACAGACTGAGTGAACAGACTGGTTAATTATTGACAAAAGTTATTGCTTGATTCAAAAGACAAGTTATTCCTTTTTCATGGCAGACTCAATCGAATCTCTTGTTTATGATGTCCTCCAGCTGAACGTGCTGCACACAGGCCGCCTCATGATTCAGTCAAAAATTTTCAGCAACCTTGTGAGTAGTTTCCTCTATGACAAGTTATTCCTGTATAAAAAAAGAATAAGTTAAATGATTTTGAGCGAGAATCTAAGGCTATGTTATTCAAATGAAATGACTTGTGTCCTTGAGGGGACCTAGAATAAATGTCCTGTAGACTACCAGACGAGTGCTGTACCAGGATGGAAAGACCACTGTTTTGTTGGACAGCAGTAAAACGTTCGGCAACGTGCGCAGCAGCTCAGGTCATAAGAGAGTTGGTTGGCAATCGATGGGATATCAGATACAGTCTTGTACAGGAATATCTGTCTTTCTATCTGAGTTATGTGTTCCCAGATTCCTATTCATAATTTTTCTGCGTTTCATCTGGTTGTACTACACTAGAATCGGATATGCAACAATAAAGAGTTTCTGAAAAATAGTGCGGAAAGTGTTTGCTTCAGAGAGTTAGACTGTAAGACCAACTCGACATATCGATCGACTTCTCCAGATGACGGTTGATCTCAGCAATGAATTTCAGTTTGCCTCAGATCTATGGTCAAAACCTCTGCTTTTCTCAGATTCTGGTCGCCGACCCATGATATTCTGGGTGTGGTTGCCCGACCACACTTTTGGCTAGTGGAAAATATTGACAACAAATCGACCTTTCGGTTCGTGAGGCGAACTGTGAAAATGGTAGAGGAAGGGCGCATGTACCCAATTCCGGTACACATGTTCAAGAAGGCCGAGAACGATCATCGAAAAATATGAACTCCAGTTGTTTCAGTTTGGACTGAGAAGCACCTCTAGTGACCTCGAAGCGCAAAGTTCATTTGACTGATTCATGGATGAAACTCTCGCTCATAGTCGTGTGCTTCGATGCCCGGAATATCGCACCAACTGAAAAATGAGAGGCCTCCATGAGCCATATTCAGCTGGAGTATATCAAGAGCAATCATTTCATTTAAGGCTTACTTAAGCAGCCCGTTACTATCAACTTTATTTGCACGTCACTGTGTTCTGACGGTTGCGTTCAGTTTACTTTACGACTGGAAAATACCGCTGATAAAGACTTGGAAACTGCCTGACAAGTCTGAAAAAGACGGAATTCACAGCACAGCGTCGACGGATCTTCAGCAATGTTATGAATAGTGTGTTTCGTCAGGAAATGTGCCATGATTAAGCCAGAATTTCAGGCAAGGGTGGGGTGGTAAGTACACAGTATTCACTCGACTATCCTAAATCAATATGCTGTCGCTGACCTTGAGTCTTTGGGAGCCTTGGCTGTCAGGGGAACATTTTATTCCAGAAATTGCTGCGGGAGTAAATTAGTACCCGGATGGGGGGAAATAGGCTCTAAGTTGTCAGCTTTCGGGTGGCTGAGCTGCTAAAATTATGTACGTGCACGTACAACAGAATGTTTTCGGGCCACAGCACGCAAAGCACGTTGTTAAGGGGTTATCCTCTGTAAATCCTGAAGCTCACCTAATGGTAAGCACAGGTTCATCAGCTCCTTTGTTCTTCTCTTCCCCACTGGTCACTACCAACTCTGCAACGGTTAGTAGAAGTGAATAAAACTGGTTGAATGAGATCGCAACCATCTACATAGATTGTATCGTTTCTTTGGATCGCTAACTCTTGAGGTAGTGTTCACCGTGCTTGCTAGTGTGCGCGTGTATCCTGAAGTCGACCGATGAGCCCAGTTGAAGGCATTACCTGCAACTAAATTCACGGTCATCCAATGGTCAATCTGATATCTTGAAAGTTTTCATAGGCCTCTAGATCCAACAAACCCTGTAAAAACCTATCAAGTCATTTGAAAATATATTTTCCTACAAGTCTGACTTTTATTCCTTGCACTATCTGAAGTTGCGAAGGTATGCCGTCACCTTGACTATGGTTCACCTGTCAATACGAGTGAATTTTTTGACCACCCTACCGTGGCAAACGAAAAATGCCATGAGAAGACGAACGTCTGTTCAGGAGAACCTTACTTACTTCTTCGGATTCTGCTGGACATCTCTCAAGTGAGAAAAACCACCAAACGGGCCGAGTAAATTGAAATTGCATCTCGGGCGATTTGCAGTAGACCCAGTTGTGCATTTCTTCAGCTCGGCTTGGTCCGACAGCCACCAGATGCGACTCATAGACCGTAAGGAGAAGATCTGGAACTCTTGGCGGTTGTCCCGGACCAGACCAAGACTGATTCGCTGCGTGCATTGTTTCTACAAGGCGGATAAATTACCGGACGATGAGTTTAGGTCTGTCAGAGGTTACAACAAGCACTTTTCAGAGTGTTTTCCCGTTTTCCAGCAAGGTTCTATTTTAAGCGTCTATTCGAAGTTTTACACACTTCTGGTAGCAAGAAAGATGTATTGTTTGATGTAGAAGCCAGTTAATCACTTAAAAATGTGGAAACAAAAGAACCAAGAAATAGTCGTAGAAAGAACAATTTCGAAAGTCAAAACTAAGCTTTCAAAGCTTCAGTTCGCTCTCCATATGTTGAAATTTGTGAAGTAGGACCACAAACCAATCTGAGAAGCTGGGAGAAGCAACTATTCAAAGTGACGCCAGATTAGCAACGAATATAGCTGTTTATTTTCCGCACGATAGTTTTCATTTGAGCCTGGGTGATGTGACCAGAGGAAAGAAACTGTTTTGGACTCAGATATTCACCACTTACCTGAACTGATACTGTCATAGAAAGTGCCAAAGGGATTCAGCCATTCAAGTGATGTAGCCACGGCCCCACTTAACTTGAGCAGAATTGAGGATAAGACTGTGGACCAGTCCCTATTGGCCGATTGGTTGGGATCCATTAAAGACAATTCACGCATGATACTTGGAGACAAAGTCATTGTACTACACCAGCTGTTCAGTCGAGGATCCAAGTGGATGAGTTGCCCCGGTGAGAGACGCTGAAGTATTTCCTGGCGTTTTTGACATGTCTGTGATAAAGATTGAACAGGTGAAGTTTGTGGAAGTGTGTAACGTGGGAATTATGCTCTGTTATTTCACGCTGCACTCTCTTCCTCCAGTTTCGTCTTGCGAGTCACAACCTCAGAATATATAGCGTTGTTATTAATATCAGTATATTAAATAGAGACACGTGGTAAAATTTGCCTGTATCCGGCTGACCACAACTTCAAAGGAGCAATCAGAAACCAATTTGTTCCACACGGTCAGGTTGGGTAGGTAGGACACTGTCCTACGCCAGGAAACATGTCACACCTATGAACAGTCACCCTTTGATGGGTAGAGGGGCCTGGAAATGAAAGAGTTTAAACCAGTGCATTACATCGCTTCGCTTCACGATGGAGCTCTATCCCTATCAAGTTTTATGACTGCCCAGCAAACAAGCCGAGCAGTTCAGATCTTCAGCTGATGGCCAATTAATTGGTCCTCTTTGTGACTCGTCACTTTTTTTCGTTAGGACGTCAATAGTAAACGCACCATCAAAATCCATTCTGCCGTTAGACTCATAATCAGGGGGGTCTCGTTTCCTTGTACTCGCAGGCGCATCAAGGCTTCGGTCTAACCCTGTCGGTCAGCCCAACTTCATCCAACTGTGAATGCATCCACTCTAAATTCATGCGATTCTCCCTTTTGGCAGTCAATTTTCTCGTGGAAGACGGAAATTAGACCTTTTCATAAAGGAACTACTCACAAAGTTCGCTGAAAACTCTTTGACAGGCCACGACCGGTTTCGCCCTTACGCTTGGGGCCTATCAGGTAGGCGCAGTCCCCGAGTTTCCATCAACCTTATGATCTACTTGAAGCCAAATCGGACTGTTTTCGAGAAATACACTCATTTGCAAATCAATATTGTTTTCACGGGCGACTCAATTGAACCTCCCGTTTATGATGTCCTCCAAATCTCGAATATCGTGCCAGATGAATCATGAGGCGGCCTGTGTGCAGCACATTCAGTTTAAGGACATCATAAATGCGAGATTCAATTGAGTCTCCCGTGAAAACCAAATTGGTTTGGAAATGAGTGTATTTCTCGAAATTAGACCTTGTTCATTAGACCTTGTTGTTCTTTCAACGTCGAAAGGAGAACCTTCGGCACAAATGTTTCCCCACATAATGTGGGAAAGTCTGATCGGAATTTATTTTAAAAATGTCTGAAGCGCCTTCGATAATACTCGTCTAGGAACTCTTGTATGTGGTTCATTGAGGGAGAAAGAAAGACGGTAGCTGTGTTGTCGTTTGTGACAACGGGAGATCAACACGATAATGCTATTTGGAGCAGATATTTGAATAACATACTGATGAAGCATACCAAGAGGCAAATTGCTCTACACGGTTTATTCAAACCAGAAACAACCCTTTCACATTTCTCTATAGAGAATATATCAGAACTCGCAACCAGTTGATTGGCTTGAAAAGAAATCTTCGCGGCCCACAAACCGAATGCCACCCTAAGGAAATTGATCTGTAGACCGAAGGACAACCAAGACAAAAGCAAGAAGAAAAATGTGATATGCCAGCTCAACTGCAACAACTACAACAAATTCTACGTCGGAAAAACCAGGAGGGAATTATCTACACGAACAAGGGGTCACAACGCAGCTGTCAGGAGGCAGGACCCCCTATCCTTGATATCTATACACGAGGACCAAGAAGGTCACAAATTCAATCTGAAAAAGCAAAATTTTTGACATACGGAGACACGAGATTCGGAAGAGAATTTCTGGAGGCGTGGTACTCCTTGGCAGATTCGACCGACCGGTGCATCGAACTGGATCCAATTTACGCACTTCTACGTCCAAAAAACCAACTTCTTAACCGGGACACTCAAGGAGGAACTAATATTGAATTCACAATCACAGAAACAAGGAACTCCTTAGAGGCAAATCAATAAAGGTCACGAGCCGGGACTCGAAAGGACAAAGCTCACTCAAGCACCGTCCAGATTACAACGGCAGGGGGTACCAAGCGCAAAGTTCACGTGGGCATCGGCAAATTGGGACACAGGACAGTGGTGCAACAAATGGAACCGCCCGACCGAACAACTGATCGCGGTCAAAGGTCATCCCCAGCTAACAGCACGTATATTAACACACACGTAACACTACTCAACGTACAACCACTAGCCCACTGCTACACACTACTACGCTCTCCAATAACGCACTGATGATGTCACCTCGATTGGTGGCAATCAAATTGCCCAGCTCAACGAACAAGCCAACGATCATTTGGAGTCAACAGAAAACGGTTGAAACAAAAAAGCTTCTTGTTGGTGGCCCCAAAAGATGCAGATAGGGGCAAATGCCTTAGGCCGCGTTGAAAAATCAAGCTCTTGGACTCCCTTGTGAACTTATTTTTTATAGATGGATTGAATTTTGATCAAGACTTGTCTGTAAAGTTTCTTTTTGTAACTCACCTTGGTACTCTTTAGTTCGGGTAGTGTGTCACACCCCAGAACCGAACTAAAATGTAAGAGGGCCTCTGCGACGCATTTTTACCATTTATCCATCGGAATTTTTGGTCGTCTCAAAGAAGCAGACATTTGTTCGGTTCGTGTAAAACCGGACCAGAAGGCTAGATACCCGTCTTTATTTTTGGAACAAGTGAAAAAATAGGCCTTAAGTCTACTGAAGCTGGGAATCAGGTCCAGCCATGAGCTCATTATTTTTTTATCCCTAACTTGATTACTTTCAAACGGGATCAGCATATATCCAAATCAACATGCGTGTGTTTTATTTTGTAAGAATGAGGTGGACCAGAAAAGGCGCGCAGCTTTTTCTCAACCTGATTCATTTTAAGCGCAGGTTTTACTTGAAACCTCAGCATTTGAAAATTGTCGGGTGGGTGGGTCATACTTCCACAAACAATAGCCGCTCTCCTGAAATACTTCCAAAAGAAAGGCTGCCACAGTAGTTAAAGTTTTCAAGTTATCTATACAAAAGTACTGCGGAGTACCTGAGGACGCCGAGCAATATTGGAAACAGGTTCGCTCAGCTCCAAAAACACGTAGACTTCTGGTCAAGTTTCACATCCTACTGAAGTTTCGTGGAGCCAGTTACAGTTAAGGAAGTCAGTTGCATGATCCATTTAATGGGCGATTAGTCCCAAGGTCTGGATAAGCACGAGCCAGGGCTGCTTTGACGGTCCACTATCAATGTCACTGCAGGGTATTTCAGCTTACTATTATTACTGGAGTTCGTCTACCCAATTTGTCTTGTGCTCTCTAGTTTCACTCTAGTTTCAAACGTCTCACACCTGACTTTACCGGACTAACTGAGACTCGACCCCGTGTCACTCATTCATGTTTGCTTCTTTCTCTGGGTGGTTGCTAATCGGTGGAGCCATAGACTGTAACTGCTCTCATTTCAATTTGAATTTTTTCATTGAAACGGTTGTTTGGAAGCCATATAGCTGTTCTGCACCCTTCGTCAACACACTCTGTCGATTGATTATAACCTCAAATTAGCGTTTGTTGATATCCCGAAAGCGTTGGATTTTCCTTTGCGTAAGGCAGACGACAGATATACCGGAACGCTTGGAACACCGTCACTCCCTAATCAATACATTGCGCAGTCTCATGAAAATGCTGCAGCAGTTTTCTTCACTCCCTATGTTCATTGCCGCTAAGGTCTTAGGCATGGAGGTTCACTCCTCTCAACATTGTGTTTCGTGTCAATGAATGGGTTTCCTGGATCGTTGGTGCCACAATTGGGTTACCGGTTTTGTGCATCATAGGAAATAGTCTTGCCTTAGGCGAGGACTGATTATTGTGGGCAGCCTTTTCGTATTGGGAAGCCCAAAGGTTCTCAGGTTGAGTTTGAATAAGCGCCAAGAATGCATAAGAATAGTGATCTGTTTAGATAAAAAACATCGTGGTCTCAGTCAAACACCTTTGCTTTGTCCATGAACTCAACACTTCTCCGGGTACAACAAACAGTGTGACATATTTAGGTGTCCCTCTTACTTTCCAGGGAGAGAATTCGGTGTACATCAAGGGCATTTGCTGAACTGTTCAATGCGGTGAGGCGTGCTCAGATAAAATGGCATCAAACAATGGAAATTCCAAGAAATTTGAGGATATCATATTCCATTGTGCTCGGCATTCCTCCACAATACCCCAAAAAGTTGAATAAACGCATCAGATAGTTTGGTTGTGACTCGCTAAGCCTACCAAAGGGCAACCTAATCAGATAGATCCACGCTGGTAGATGACCTGAACGACTGGAGATCCGTAGACTGAGTTCAACGATCCCGATAATGTGGGAAGTCCTCATTGAAACCTGTCTAAGTGATGTGAGGTGCAACACAGATTACCTGATGATCTTGAATTTAACAAGATCGTTCGGGATCTCAGCTATTCGATCCGGATCCACGAGAGGTACCCGCACACCATGTTAGTACTTGTGGCTGCTTTGGAAATTGGTCTACGGAACAGAGTTGATAAAGTTCTACAAGAGTCTATTGCCTATGATTATAAACGCGTGTTTTATAGGGTATTTATCGGTGGTGTTTAGTGCAATCCACTAACGACGAGGGTCGGGAAAACCTGGCCTGGTCTTGGTGATCTTTGTCTTGGAATTTATAGACAGACTGCATATTCCGCTGTAATTTTGAATCCCACATGATGTCTAATGAGCTCATCATAACCGGGTTGCAAGAGAAAACTAAAAACGTCTTCTTAGTCTGGGTTGCACTGTGTGCAACGTCTTTCACTAAGTCGGACCTGATAGCTCTCCGAAAGCGTCACTCAACGGTGACAGACATGGTCATATTCTCGTATGGGCTCGTAACGGCCCCGTAGAACGAGAGGAAACGCAAATGCGTTGCTGACTTGCCACAATCTTGTCACAATCGTGTCATTGATTGTGACGTTGTCTTTTGCTCATAAATTGATGATCGTTTCATATTGATGTATCTGCTTTCTTCAGCTCACCAACGCAACTATTAGACCGCGCCTTCTTAAGTTCATCATTAAGGACTTAGTTTTGTTAAGCTTTTTGAGCTCTACACATACAACATTTTTGCGCATGGAACATGTTACTGAGTGTATTTCACAACTTACAAATATTGACTGTCCATTGAAGAGTGATGACTACTATCTGTCCATTGTTCATCTGAGGTCCTAACACGCGCGTTTCCATGAGAAGCATTCTTACACACGTAGGAATTTATTTTGCCTGGCTACAAAATTAATAACACCGCGCATTTCAGTGGAACGTTTTTCTATCTATTTCCACAGTTTTCCTGTACATCCTTCCACGTCCGTTTCTCGCATGCCTTGTGCATTTGATCATATCTTTCAAAAACACTCGAAGATAGTAAAATTTGTTTAAGACTCTGTTTTGCTTTCTTTAGACAGCCAAATTACTAGTTTTTCCCTCCTCAAATCTCGGAAATAACAGCCTGAATGTAGTTGTAAATAAATGCATAATTTATTGCATGAAAAGGTCAGGCCAGCCTGTTAGCTCAGAACATAATGTTGAGCAACAAACAACGCAACACGGTTTTAACTACTGAAATAAAAAAACTAAACATTCAAATAAAGGAGGCTTAAGTAACGTCAGATGATGTTTAAACTATTCCACCAATTTTTCAAATGGCCTCACTCAGATAAATGCCTAGAAATATTTGGCTGCTGGTTGGCGAGTGCATACGTGTTTGGCGAGTAAAATATACTCCGCCCGTGCGCCACTAACCAAAACAAGGAAGGACTACTCCAAATCTCATTCAGTTTCTGGCAACTGCTATGAGGAGTTCCAGGTTCTTACTACTGAACCACCGAAGACGGGCCCAAGACAAATCTGACAACGTTGGTACGTCACAAACAAATGTAGAGCAGGAAAGCAGGTTTATTCATATCTTCAGAACTCAGTTCTTTGAAACATTTTAACCCTAACTGATGCTATAAATGTGGTTAAACATTTAGTACAATCATCATTTGAGTTTCCAAAGTAGTGTCGTTACGCGCTGTTAGCTTTTATCGAATGTGTGGCTGTTCTAGTAGCGCTTTCCATGTAAATGTTTGTTACAAACTAGTTTTGAATGTTGTACTCGTCAAAAGACGTAAAGATGATTCAGTCGATTAACAGAAGTGATAATGATGTATTGAATTATTAACTGCCTTTATCTCTAGAATGACCATACTATGTGGAACACACCAGTGCTTTCTACGAATCCAACAGGTTTCACGAGTAACATTGCATAAAAACGTACACCTAGTTTTATTGAGGCTTGCTCACATTTAATTTTCCAAAAGCGAAATAGTTGCGGTTCAAAGCAGCAATGGTTTTCTGTATTAAATAAATGCATAATTAAAAAGCTTGATTTTGTTTCAGGATGTTAGCACGTAGCTTTAATTTATCTAATTAGGTCCAACTATTCTCACAACTACAGTGCTAGCTACAATTGTCTGACTGCCGTTCATAACGTTGACAGGCTTTTAGTATCTAGACTGCCCTCTTTCATTCCAGAAATGTACTGCTGTAAAACTGTATGGCTCATTTGTGATAGAATCTGGAAAACGGTTTATACTGTCCAAAATGGAATGATCTACCCACCATTTGAGGTGTTAGACATGTGTCAGAAACCAAAACACATAGCTAATTATACAAGCACGCTTTTGGGGGTGATTACTGAAACAGAAAACAAAAAATGCGTACGTAACAGCTAAAGATAAGAAAACGTTCCATTATTAGCCATTTTTAAACATTTTAAAAGCACAGCTGTGGTGTTTTGGAATGGTTGTTAGATAATGACAGAATGATACCAGTAGTTAGTTCAGTATGGTACAGGCGATAAGCTTGCTAGAAAGATTTTCTAAAACTCCACTGAGAGTTCGGAGACAAGGATAAGTGTACAGGAGTTCATCTGCAGAGTCCAGTGTATGTTTGGATGTTAAAACTGAGCATATACGCTATTGGAAATCTTCTTGGAATTAAAATGGGACCTGTTTTCTTGATAATACTAAAGACAAAGCGGGCCATACCACCATAGTTTGGGATCATCAGCATATTGTAAAACCGGGCAAATATATATGTGGAGATAAAATAACCAATTTGGAGCTAATAAAAGTCCTTGTTGGATATTTTTTAGCCTGAAATTTCCACGGACGAACTCTACACTTACTTTTGGAGTGCTGCTGAACTTATAACAACCCAGCCAATGAGAGAAGAAGTCACTAACTTCAAGAGTATATCATATCTCGGTGTGTCCCCTACAAAATCATATCAAGCGTATAGGAAAGGTCAGGAAAAATGCAGTCGGTCCCATGTTTGGGTTGAGTAGTTAAGCGCAACAAGACAGATGTTTTCTCCTGTTGAAAGAAGTAAAAACTCTTCGACCGTGTTTGCAATTTTTACAAGAGTGCGAATGGAAAAACGTCATTGTAGTAGTCAATGATAACATATGGCTTACTGCAATACTATGGCCGACGTACTTTAGATAGTTCGACGGCCAGTTTAGGACACTACTTGTTTAGTTATCATTTGGAGGATCTGCTGGATTGCAATCGAAGAAAGTTACGAAAATGGAAGTTAACACCTATGCCAAATAAGGTGCTTTGTCATAATTTTTCTTGAATGACATGCAAACCTTTAAGAACAGTACTTCTTGATAAATCAGGTCTCGACAAAATCCACAATGAGGTTACGTTCGTCTAAATCAGCCTACGGTAAAGAATTCGGCAACGTCCGGTGTAAGTTAAGACCTATGTCAGGACCTTGTTTCATGGCCGTAGTGGGCAACTTGACCTGCAAGTCCGCGGTGTTCGCGTCACTACGTAAATACATTGACGAGAGTTTTCATTCGCAGGGGTCTAGCGACATTTCGCCCCCTCCACACGTCAGTATTGTTTTAGGCATTATTGTCCAGTGCACTCTTTGAATGCGTCAACCAAGTAGATGTGAACATCCTCCCCAGAAAACCGTTCACCAATTGTACGAACCCAAAGGCATGCCGTAACTATGGCTGTTCCTTTTTCTAAACGGATCACGTTGTGGGTCATCTTTACCAAGAAGATAAGCAACTACTGCTTAGAATATGGCTTCATGCAGTCGATTCTGAGTAGTGGACTCAATTTTGTGTGTGTATGTCTCTTTATTATGGGATATATATTTGATCCCAGTCAACCACAATTTAGACGACATTGCCTGGTTTTAGCATCACAGTGATTAGACACTGCGTGCTTTCTAGTAGAGTGCTTTCACTTCCGATTGCCGATGCACCCTATTAAAATATTTCGCGCATGTTTATTATTAGCCCTGTGGTGCTCCAAAATCCATTTCGTAAAATCGATTCCCGCTGCCCATGTTATACACTATGCCATGGTTTTGCCAACGCTAGAAAATACTGTATTGCTTTATTGATGATATACTTCAAAACATCAACGTGAATCTGGTTGGCTGACTGTCAAGCATTGTGGTATGGGTCGGAATGAATCGTCGGACTTTGCGCTATGTTTATTTAAATAGTACCACTCGAAATAAAACAAATGCACTTACTAGGCGCATGTTATAACTGTCGACCCATGCTATTGGCTTGTCCCAGAACATTCGTAGCCTCAGGGGATGAAAAGTCTGAAGTTGGTTACGTAAAAACAGTTTTCTTACCTCCATATAAACGAGTTCAAAAGAAAAAGAGCTATTTTTTGATGAGAACAGGAAGTTTTTTATGTAACTGTCATCCTGTAAAATAAAATGTTATTCGTTAGTACATTGGTTCAACGGGGGACGTGCTGCATGATGTTGCCAAATGGATTACCTTGTCACTGTTGATTGTCCTTTCGAAGATCTCGGCAGAACAAACTGCCACAAGAGAAACGAGCAGATAGGCGCTAGCCATTTATCGGTAAGCCAGTGCCGTTTATTGATGTCACACGATAACGCCTATTTTATTCAAACTGTCGCCAATTCTTGTAGGTCACTTGGCGCACCAATAGAAAGACAATAAGTAGTGGACTGGTTTCAGCTGACTGTCGAATGTTGTCACCGAAAAGTGAGGGAAGAATAATGGAGCTCCACAACTTGTGGTGCTAGGACTGAACCTGGACTTGAGGGATTCATTTCCCAGTAGGGCGATCCATGGGAGCACTTTAATTCACGAATTCATGGATTGGTAAACTGGGTCGAATCATTTGCCCAAGTTTCCCGCCTCGGTTGTGTCTTGTCGTTCAAGAGCCGTCATTTACCTGAAAGGCACAAGTTAAAAGAGGGCATAGCACTGCTCTTTATGTTCTCAGCTTTGGACAGAGTGCTTGCCAGCGCGAGGATTCGCATAATTTTCTAATGGTGCTTTGAACTGGCTACTAGAAGGAGCGTGGACAGGCGTGCGGGGAAGATTATTCTACGCACCGAGCTTGAGAATCTTCCTAACATGTCCCCCTAGTGTTTGCTGGGTCAATCGTGAAAAAAGGTCAGCGAAGATTTGTCCAAACAGGGCATAAGTAAAAATCAGGCCCCCTCAGAGGCGATGGTACTCCAGGGAAAAGAAGTCAGGCTCCGTCAGACGCGTTTCGTGGTCCATGGATTTGAGCCCGGTAACCACTTTCGTAGCAGCTCGATGAACACACTCAACGAGGGTGACGTCTTTCACGCGTCCTGTTTGGTGTATTCAAGCAGTGTTCTGATGTGGACCCCACTGTATTAGGAAGTTCATGCGAGTAATACGTGGGAAGCGTCACTGAAATATCTGTAGAGCGACGAATGCTTTTTGGGCTGATTTTTCTTGGTGCAGTGAGAAGGAAAAGTTTGAGGAGAGCCAGATACCCAAATCCGTTTTGGTGTCTATCCTCATGATGCCTTTTGGTCCTTTATCACCACGCATGAAGAGGTACTCGCTGAGTCTCCTCCAAATGATATATGGACGCAACTTCGTCGTTCAGAGGAACGCGTCAGTCCAGTGACTATTTCTTTGCGACGTTTACGTCCATTTTGAAGGCACTGGCGTCGGAACTCCAGGATTTCAGGTCGTCCACAAACAGTTAACATGGATTTGCAAGAATATCTGGAAGATTTTTGACGCAGATCAGAAACGGCAGTGGTCCAAGGACGGAGGTTTGGGGAACCCCAATGGAGATCGGCGCTGGAGAAGAGTAGGTAGGGCCTATTCTCACTTGGAGTGATCTGTCCGAAAGGAATGCCTTGATCCAGGATTTTCCCGTGAGTCACATAAAACTCGAGTTTGTGGAGCAGCGGGACTGTGGGACCCGACCAAATGCTTTTGACAAGTCGAAAACTATGGCATCCGAAAAGAGTCCTCCGTCATTGGCTTGGGTTAAGCTCTTCGTACACACGAGCATGTTTGTCACGCAAGAACGGTTTGGTAGGAAACCGTGTTGAGCTGGAGATATCATGCTGTTGGAAGTAAGTGATCTTGGGTAGCTTGCTTCAGAATGCGTTCCATCACCTTGCACGGCACACCGGTGAGGATTATAAGCCTGTCGGTAACCAGTTTGTAGATCGGTGTGAAAATCGTTTTCTTCCAAGCGGAGAAAAGGCTGCTTTCGTCAAGCGACTGACGGAACACCAAGTTAAAACCACTTGCCAGTGTAGGCGATGTTTCTTTCAGGCCCCACGGATGGACCTCGTCAGGCCCCAACGCGCAGAATGAACTGATCTTGTGCGAGAGTCAACGGTTGTACTCCACCGTGTAGACAAAGACGGTTAGTGACCGTTCGTAGTGACCGTTTGACAGGATTGGATGTGAGGAGGACGCTAAGGCTGAATATAGACTTGCGTAGAGTTCTCTGAAAACCTCACAAACCACTGTTGGGTCACTCATGGGTTCATCGTTCCTGTTCCTCAAAGAGAACCCGGATGACTTGTTTCTGTGGCGATGTCCCATATATTTGAACAGCACGTTTCAGTTTTTCCGGGCGAGGTCAATAATGGTAGCTTGTTTTCGTAAGTTCCATTGGCGGATTTCTGATTCACAGCGGTTCTTCCTTTTACGAGCAAGCTACTCTTTTGTGTCTCATGTGGTCAACATTTTGAAGGACACTATTCCAGAAGACACCAAATCCCTTTAGTTAGATTGTGGTTAATCCAAATGCGTGCTGGTGCTTTTGGGACGAACATCGCATCAGCCCCGTGAACTTTCTGGACAGTGTTCCTTTATAAGTCTTCCAGTTAAACTGTTCCCAGTTTAACTTGTTTCAAGAAAGATGCGCATTCCTGAGAAGTATGCTCTGCTGAAGTTTCGAATCGACGTTTGAGGTTCGGGCTTTCTGGCTAAATAGCAGTTGAAATCACAGGTTACACACCGTGGTCGCCATGTCCCAGTGGAGTGGTAATTAATACCTGACCAACGAAGTGACTTTCGTTGGTGATGACAAATCCGGGAGGAAGGTGTTTGGCCTGCTCGGAATCTGGTGGGTGGAACGACAGTTTTAGTCCAAGCGCCCTGCTGAGCGGCTTTGGTCAGCGCTGCTCCATAACGTCCACTTGATCCTACACGCTGGAGCCCCACTCAGGTGGCCTCTGTAGCTTTGAAGACGCCTACCAGCAGGAAGTGGGCGAGGTGGTAGTTAAATGAGAGTTGCATAGGGGTTCGTATGAGGAATTGGTCATCTTAAGGGGGGTCGAGAGGCGACGGAAGACCACATCGAGAAGGAGAGAATCGAACCCGCGCAGCGGGATTTGGATCCACAGTGCAGCGCAAAAAGGTTCAGGAGTGGTATCAAAGAGGACAATCGGGATGGGCGGGGCCGCATGCAAGTACAAATTATCCCCACCTGTCCTCTATCGTTTTAGGCCATCTGGAAAACGGAAAACACGTTTATTGAGATCTCCGCGCCAGAGGTGTCCGGTGTGGGCCAGCTCTCTGTCAGTGCGATTGCGGACGGCTGTTCAAGGCAAACTGTCTGTTCAATATCGCAAAGTTTGTTGAGAAGATTGAAGCAATTTAAGGACACGCATTTCAACATTGCCTATGCTACCTCCGAAGTTGAAGTTCCGAGATTCTTGTGACCAGAGAGGTTAGCAGATTTAATATCTGCATGTCGGGTTTGAGTTCAACGCTCCAGACGGGCCTCTGAGGCACACTCGTCTACTTCCTGTCTTCATGGTTTCGGGAGATGCTTGTCGTTTGCGCCGTTTTTCGCCCCGTGGTAGCCCGGTTTGCTCTATTTTTTTGGGGGGGGGGGAGCAAATTTTTTCTCCATGGGCGGAACTTTCTACCACTACTGCCTGTAGCCCTTGCAGTGCCACCTTCTGGACGACCAGATTTGCTGTTGGGCAAAGCTTCGGGGCAAACTTTCGGCTTCCTGGTTTCTCTGGCTTTTTGGCATGGTTTGATAGGACAGGTGTCTCTGTGAGGACCTGAGCGCTGAGTGGTGGCAGAAGGAAGTATTACTTTTTGTGGCACTCCCATGAGACTCGTTTTCGCAGGGGATCACACCTTGAAGCCAACAAGCGATTTTCTGATTTGGCGGAACTTATGTAGCTTGTTTGGCTGCATTCGCTTTTCTTTCGTGTTTGTGTGGACACCCGATCCGCCACCGTAACCAACTGGGCGTACACTGGCCTTTTCGTTTCGCTGTGTTTAGGTTTGTGGCTTTGGCTGTCGGGGTCCTGGGCGGTGGCCGTGTCCACAAGCAGAGGCCACTTTTGACGGAGCGGAGCTGGAGTTTGACAGTTTCATATTTCAGTGGTTGTACAGTTGTCTCAGCATTCCACAATGTCGAGTTTAACTTATTTGTTTGATTTCTCTGTAGGATTCGCCGCTTGTCTCAGTCCACCTCAGAAGTTGTGACTTTGGTGAGGGGTTCACTTCTGCACCCTTGTTCCTGTTTCGGAAAGAAGCGTCGGTAGCTCTACCAACTTTGGTCGCTGTCTTCACGTGGGAGCTCCTCCAGAACGTCGCTTCCTTTGGTGGATAGGGATCTGCGGTGGTTGAATAGAAACTGCTTTCGGGAGACACGTCCGGTTGCGACGATATGCTTTTGGCAGCACAGAGGTCTATGACTATAAACAATTTAGCCATGGATTTGAAGTCGGCTGAACTGGCGCAAAATGGAAGCGTGTTTTGCGGCTCTCCCTCAGAAGTGCTGTTTACGCCTCTTGAGGGCGATCTTTAGATTGACGCGTGATCGTTGGATGATTCTTTTGAATTCTGACAGCCCACTTCAAGATCTCTGTACGGCAGATGGGGAGGAAATCGTGACTTGAAGCTCAAGTGTACGCTTGCTTCTCTTCTGGCGTAACCATACTGCATGAAGTAATTGGGGATCATGCTTATTGAGGACACCATCAAAGAGAGATTGTGCCAGCTTTGTTAGCGTGATTATTTTGGAGGATGACCCCTGAGATGATCTTTCCACTCCCCTTAACGCGTCTATTCACTAGAGATGCCGTGGCGGTCTTTATTGTTGCGTTAGTGCGTTGGACAACATTCCTCGCAGCCAGCGGCCCCGAATGTAAAGCGCGGGCTATTCGTTCAGCGAAGAAATTTATTCAGCAGCTTTCGTCCAGGTCATTGCGTTCTTTGCGTTTGCATCCTCCTGCGCTCTAGAACGAAGCTCCTGTTCCGCGTCGAATATTGCGATCAAAGCGGG